ATCTTATCACTTTTATTTTAGGTACTGAAATTTAACACTATTCAATCTAATAACTAAAACTTCAAATTATTTTTATTTTAATCACTCAATGATGATGTTAATTATTTTATTTTTATTATAGTAGTATATATTTTATTAATATTTGATATCAAATGTATTTTAAAATATAAATAAATAAAATCTTTTCAAACCTTAAATTATACATCAAATCACAAATCCTAATTCACACACATTTAAACCTTTAGTTTGTCCTAAAATTCTGACAGTGGAATGAGTGTCAGGTTATGATTTGAGGTTTACGTTTTACTACTTGAGCTTTTTGATGTTAGAGTTTAAGGGTTATAATTTGAGGTTTAGACGTTGCTAATTAGGTGTTGCAATTTAAGATTTAGATAATGTGAAATTATAATTTGGATGTTGTGATTCAGAATTTATAGGTTGTTATTCATACTTGTGGGTGATGTGATTTGAGATTGTATGTTATGATTTGGAGTATACGGTTTTATAATTTGGGGGTCTTGTGCTGTTGTTTAGGGTTGTGTCGTCGCAATGTAAAGTATGTTATTTATATATGATGTTTGAGGTAAGATTTGAAGTTTAAAATTATTTTATTTAAAAAATAACAATATAAGTATGAATGATTAAAATAAGAGTTTTTAAAACTTTAGTTGTAAAATTATAAAATCTTAAATTCTAATGATTAAAATAAAAATAAAAAGAAATTGTGTGACGATTCATATATAATTTACTCCATTCTTTGCTTCTAGTTCCGTTTTTGTTGTCCTTTTCTTCCTTTCCTACGACTTTTCTTGATTCTCTTCCCACTAAACCTCACCTCGCCGCTAAAGAATTGCTTTGGAAACACATAATTCCTTTACCAAAATTCTCCGCTTTTTTCTTTACTTTTACTTTGGTATAAAATCAAATATCTATTCACACACAAATACATAAAGTATTTTCCTATACAATTTACGCAAAATATTCGTCGGATGATAATAATGTGATTAAAAATCATATATAATAAGATTTTAATATTTTTTTAGAATTTTTGTTATTTAAAAATCATTTTTAAAATTAAATTAATTTGCATAAATAACTTTTAATAAAATATTCATATTTAGTAAAATGTCGGTATTCTTGCATACATGTTGAATAAATAGATATTCATACTTTAGAGTTTTTTTTTGGTTATTTCTTAGCTGTTGAAATTAATGATTATAAATAATATTAATGTAACAACATATTTAAATTAAAATCAAAATAATTAAAAGAACTCACTTGAAAACTCAAATATCTTTAATCCTGGTTTTTTATAATATATTTTATGATTTCAATTTTATACGTAAAATCATTAAAATGGTAAATCAATAAAAAAAATTAGGGTAAACTACATATTTAGTACATAAACTATCAGTTTTGATCTATTTTAGTACCTAAACTTTAAATTTTATCAAAACTATACTTAAAGTTTAGTTTTTATTTCATTTTAATATCCGCTATTAAAAACTTAAAGATTTTAGTACATAGACAATCAATTTTGGTCCGTTTTAGTACCTAAACTTTCAATTTCTTTTCAAAATTTAACGTTAAATTTTGAACTGTGGTACTAAAATGAAACAAAAACTAAAATTTATGTATGGATTTGAAAAACTAAAAGTTTATGTACTAAAATAGTGAAAAGATTTAGATCATGTGAAATTATAATTTAGATGTTGTGATTCAGAATTTATAGGTTGTTATTTTGGCTTTCACTAGATTCTATGTAAATTGTATTTCCTATTATCAATCCCAGTCATTCATTTCACTCGTATAATCATCTTTAAAAAGTATATATGAATTTCAAACTAACAATAGACTCGAAATGATACAACCAAAACACATTGATATTAACATGTACGAGTACATAACACTAAAAACACACCAACACCATTATATATCAGAGGGAAAATGATGTCAACCAATATGCCACTCACTACCTTAAAATGCATTCTAAATATTTATAATCTAACAATATATTTCAAAATTTTACTATGTATATAACATATTCTGATCTATCATTCACTCAACATCTAACAAAATTCCACCAGAATATTCAACATCAACTTCAAATGCACATATCTTAATGTCTGTAATACGAAGCCTCAATGCATAGATATAGGGTGGGAGATTTCCAATGTCTAAATCAGTACAAATGACTTCACCTATGTATCTAAGGGTCCTCATATTGGACAATGTTCTTTGTTATATCAAATCATAAAAATAATCAAAAATCATCTTAAATCTACATTCAGATAAGTTTACAAAAGAATTAATGACATGAATACCTAGAAGACAAATTGATCACTGAATGTGTAAAGCAAAACATTGATGCAGTAAGAATACACAAAAAGATAAATGGTTTTACTCCATTGTATACGGGTTAAGATTCGTTTTCCACTATTATTGGAAATATCTTGGACCTATCAAACCATCCATACAGCACAAATGAATGAAACAAAGTTAAATATTTTTAAAGTGCATAACTAGAACAATTGATTAAGCTATATCATAAAAACATGGTATTGTATGATTTAAAGGCGACAGATGAAATTAGACTTGACTTTTATAATGATAATATTGTTATACCAACAAAAGCTTGATTGAAAACCCAAAATTTTAAACTTGCAACTTGAAGCAAAAGGATGAGACAGATAGGCTTGGAGCAAAATTAAGAAGCATTGTCGTAAATACATAAACAATGAACATTGAAGTAAGAAAGAAGAGCAAAAGCAAAGGTCATGGCTAAATTGGTAGATGAAACAACCTCTATGACACAGCTTTTAAGGAGAATGTTAGTGCGGGAAGAATCAACATGCTTTCGAGTAGGGGAAACCTCCAAGGGCGAGTCCTTTTTTCACTTCTGCTCTCTGGGTGTCGAAGCTTTTTCTGATTCAAGAACTCAAACAGTCCCCTAATACAACACGATGCAAACAAGTTCAAATCTACGCAAAAAAAAAAAGATGAAAGAAAGATGGGGAAGGCCTACCTACTTGTTGTAAGCGAAATCGAGGGAAGGTTGGGATTGAAGATTTGAGACAGCAAGGGATTCTCGTTTGATTCTTCGATTCAATTGATTTAACACAAAAAATAATCCCGCCCCTCGCATTTCGGTCGTACGATTTGTTAAATTTTTGTTTGATTTGTGCTCGTTAAAAAAATTTATTGCTCAACTCGTTGCTTATTAAGCTCGATGCTCGTTAAGTTCACTAAATTTTTTACTTTATTTTTTTAATTATAGGTAAAACTACTAATACTATACAAAGTTTAATAGAAACATATATTAATAAAATTAACTAAAAATATTATCAAAATAGTGTATGAAATAATTTTAAAGTCTAAACTTCAAAATAACAATCTACAAATACATTAAAATACTAAACATGATTTGATTTTTTAGTGTAATAAAATACTAATTAATAATTTAATATTTTTTCGTTGTTTAAGATTAGCAATTCATCATATTTTTTATTATCTATTAGTAAATTTGTAATTTTTTAGTGAAATAATTTTTAAGGTAACTACTGAAAATTTATATAAAAAAATTAACGAGCTGCTTGTGAACATATCGAGTCGAGTTGAACTTTGCTCGAATCAACTCGTTAGGTCTCGAGCTGAGCTTAAGTTCGATTCGAGTCATCTCAAGTCAAATTTTTATCGAATTTTGACCGAACTACTCACAAACTGCTCAATTCATTAAACATCCCTATACTTATCCTTTCTCAGTTGGTAAGTTGTTTTACCGGAGAAAAGACATTAATTTTACTCTGACTGTAAAACATTTTTCTTTGACCAATGAGTTTTCATTCAGTAAACATGGAAAAATTGTGAAAACATTTTCGGTAAAAAATTTCCTTGAAACAAACAATATCTATTTTACCGACTTATTTTGATCAAAAAAATTTCAAATGGGACTATCTAGGCAAAAAATAGTTTTTTAGACCAAATAATTGGTTTTAACTTGACCTAGTACATTAATATTACTCTTAGATTAGGCTTTATTTAATTGTTTCACCAATCCCATAACGCCTCGTTTAATGCACCATTCAAACTCGAGAGTGACAGTCACACGCAAATCTGAACCCTCCCTTATTCTCAGTCTCAAACGCCACCACGTGAGAATCTTAGAATTTGCCACCTCCAACTAGTGGCGGAGCCGCATATAGTTTAAGGTGGGAATATGCTTACTTAAAATTTATACAATAAAATGTTAGGGCGGACACCATAAAATTTTAGGTTAAGAGCACATATTAATGAAGAAAATTTTGAGTTTTAAAGAAGAAAATTTGAATTTTAGGAAATTTTAGGGTGGGCAGGTAGAGATCGTAACAGGTTGAGTTTCTGGTTAATCCGATCTTATTTGAAAATATGCACCATCCACTTGAATTCGGACTCGACCCGAATAATATATACCTTCCACCCGACTCTAACCCAAATCAAATTTTTAAAGTATAAATTCGACCTGACCCGATATAAAATAATGACTTAATTATTATTTTTTATTTTAAAAATTACATTATTATTCTCGGATCAAAGTTTTTTCACCCTCCATTCTACCGATCTCATCTCTTAAAAAATCCACCCAATTTTTTAAAAATTCTATCCTATCGAGTCGGGTTGAAACTCCGTTGGATTCAAGTTAAATTTGCGTCTTTACTCTTTTAAAAATATTTCTAAATTTGATACTACCTGGAACTGTTATGCAAGAGCCAACCCAAGTACGCAACCGCCAGGGTTTAACCGAGCCAGTCATTCATTTACAGAAACGGACCGCTGTCTCCTGCAAACGCTCCCAATCATTTTCACCTACTACATACGAAAAAGATCTGATTTTATCGTTTGCTTTTTATTACGTAAAATATAAAAATAAGAAAATAATGTCCACACGTTTTCGTAGATTGACAAGATTGATATAACAAAAGATTTTTCTGTCATTTCCCTTTTTTCTCTCTTCCAGAATCAATAATTTAGACGACCTCCATTGGGATTATCTACAACCAACAGGAAACAAACTCCATTTAATACCAAAGAAGAGAGTTGAACCACTTTGTGCTGGGTGGGTGTGTCTTTAGGGTTTCTTTGCAGGTGGCAAATGGCAGCCTCTCGGCTCGTGATTTTCTCCGTCTTTCTGGCCCTAGTTTTCACCCAGATTAGAGCTGATGTCTCAACCGAACCACTGCTTGAATCGGACGCCTCCGGTTTTTCTGCTCTGAAGGCGGAGTTGGATCAATTGAAGTCCAAGATCTCTCTTCTTGGTTAGCTTTCTTGTTCCCGATTCGTTATAGACGTGATTGCCTGCTTTGCTTACTTTTATCGTTCTTTTCTCTATTCGATCCCGTCTCAGATTCAAAGCCTTGCTACTTTATTCCCTCTAATATGGATTAGTTCATCTTGTTTATACTTATAGTACCAACTCTTATGATGAATTTGATTTCTCAGTTTGGGTTATCTACTGAGCGGCTTAAGCTTCGATTTTATATTTAATTTTTTTGTTGGTGAAAGTTAAATCGCTTTCGGATGCGGATGGTTCATATCTGTTGACTAATTACAATTCGTTTTTATATAAAGAGTCAAATCTTGAGGAGAAAATTGGAGAACTGAAAGCCAAGGACGAGAAAATAAAGGAGAAAGATGAAATTATTCTAGTCAAATCTGACAACGTTGCATCGTTGCAAACTGAATTATCATCTCTTCAGGTATTCAAGTTCTTTACTTTCTTTTTTTATTAATAATAAATTAATAGTATGATGATGAAAAGGAAATTTACAAAAAAAAAAGTTGTTTCTTAGAAAAAGGGAACATCTGATACCAAGGACAGGGTGGGAAAAGCTCATGCGCAGGCACTTGAATTGCAGAAACAGGTAGGTTCTCTTCAAAGATGTTTTTAGTTTTGCAGATAAATATAGCTCTTTTCAGCATTCTGATATTACTTCTGGTTGTCCAGGCTGATAAGCTTAAAAGTGAATTAGAAGCAAAATTAAAGGAAAAAAATTCTTTGGAAGCCCGTGCAACTAAAGCTGAGAATAAGTTGGATGAATTGAATTTGAAGCTAGAGAATGTAAGTTTTTTTTTGGTTTGGTATAAGTGTTAGGAATTCCAATTGTCTTGTTTTTTTTTACTGCTATCTTTTTTTCTAGTGGCACATATATGAATGCATTTCCTTCATGTGGTATGTTGTGATACATTTAGATATCATTTTACAGCTTCAGAAGGTCAATAAGGAGCAGGTGAACAAAATAGCAAAAACTGAGCGAGCTCTAAAAATTGCGGAGGTATGTTATGGCTAACTAGCTGCAGTGTCATACTTTGTGCTACACAATGGTCCTGAAGCTAATTTTCTGACCATATTATTTTTATTTTAATAGGAAGAATTAATTAAGACAAAGTTTGAGGCCACTTCAAAGGCAAATGAATTGTTGCAGGTATTTTGCTTAGTTCAGCATACCCTGCTATCTGCTTGGAGTTCTGAAGTTTCTTTTCAATTTTTTTTAGTGAACTTAGTAAATTGTGTATACTGTCTGCTGATTGAAGTAATCTTTCTTCAGCTAAAGGAACTGGTAAACGTTATGGGATTTTGTTTTTGTAAGATTTTTTTTCCAGATGGGGTTACTACTTTAAGGAAGTCAATCGCTGCTTTAAATTTGATTTGTACCTTACAGCCTTTATTTCAATGGGTTTTCTTTATCTGAAGTTTCTACTTTTTGGAGCTATCTTCAATATCTGAAACTGTAAATTGAAAATTTTAATTAGAATTATGATGCTTATTTTATCAAATTACCTGTACTAGGTCAAAAAAGTTAACATGTGACGGTTATTGATTATTAACAGCAGATTTTTTCACAACAGAGACAGTTTTTAAAGCGCTTACTAAATTCTACAAGCACATATTAAAAACTAATTAGTAATGATTGCTACCAGGTTCACACGGCATGGTTCCCACCTTGGCTTGCTAAGCAGTTAAACCGTGGTCAGGTAAATTAAGAGTAAAATCTTTTGGTTTGTATATTACGGATCTCTCTTTTGTGATTCTAAAATACTTTCTTGCCGTAGGCCTTCATTCAGACACATTGGAGCGAGCGTGGAAAACCAACCTTGGATTTGGTGATGCAGAAGGTATCCGTTTTATTATCCTTTATTACCATTTGGTGCCTTACTAGCTAAAACCTTTATTTAATTACTTAGTCATTTTATGTTTCAAATTTCAGATCTACGGCAAGTCGGCAACTTTACATTATGAAGTACATCTTACTATTACAACTAAATATTGTTCATGATATATGCAGGCTCTTGAGAAAAAGGCCTTAGCTAAAAAGTGGGCTGATCCCCACATGGAAACAATTAAAACTGTAAGGTTCTTTTAAAGCTGTTATTTCCAAACCAAATCAGGAGGTTATGTATGAGTTTCTTTCTAATCATAAGTGTATTGATCCTAATCTTTTCACTTGAAGAAATGGGTTCCAGCTATTAAAGGTCAGTGGGTGGTGGTAACTACCCATGCTAAACCACATGTGCAATCATTAAAAGCAAAAACCGTCGAAGTTTATGAGGCATCAAAGACTGCAGTAACTCCTCATATTGACAAAGCTCATGAAATAGTTGATCCTTACTTCCAAGTATGTGATACTCCACTGTGTCTTTTCTATCATATTTACGTGTACATCCTAATGCACAGATTTCTCGATCACAGGAAGCAAAGAAGTTCAGCAAGCCATGTATTGATCATGTTGCTACTTTAGCAAAGCCTCATGTTGATAAAGTTTGTGTGGTGATGAAGCCATATACAAAGGAGATAGTTAATGCTTATGGGAGATTTTTGGAATCAGCAACAACATACCATCAACAGGTATCAATAACTTCTTGTAGTTATTGTTTGGTGTCTCTTCATGAACTATTGTGGGAAACACTGCATAATCTGGCAAAGGAGTTAAAACTATAAGCACAATGTATCTATTTTTAATATTCAATTGTTTTGTTGAGGTTGTCTCAGCGAAGTTCTGAAGGAATGGTGGTTATGGAAATTGAAATATGGGATGACATGCCAAATATAGGTCGTCTTCATTCTTTGTTTCGGTCAGTGCAAGTAACGAATGTGCTATCATTTGTTACTCTTTTAAAGTTTTCTTGATCCATTCGTGCCTTTGCACATTTTAGAGTAGAATTGCAGTATGACGGTTTTTGCACTACTAGATAATTAAGTGTTCTTTTACTAGTAAATGAACTTTGAATAATTTGCTTGGCTTTGGTGTAATAGTCTCCCAACTTTTGTGGCATGTTATGTTTTTGCACTGCATAAAATGTGGTTCAACTGAAGTTTCTTATCAGAGGGTAAAGCATATAAATTACTTATACATTTCTCGGAACTTTATTAAATTTGTTGGAATCTGGTATCTTAATATGGTAATTTTTCAGGTGGATGTTGCCTTGTTATCTTTAAAATAGTGTTAAGTTTCAAATATATTATAGACTATCGAACGATTACTGCATGTAATATTAGGTCCAAGCTTCTGTGCAAGAGACTTTGAAGAAGCATGAGCTGACCAGACCTTTTGCAACCAAAGAGCTGGAGTGGTTTGCGGTAGGTATATTGGCCGTGTAATTCTTTTTTCAATTACTGTCAACTGAAATCAAATTATCTAATCAGTCCTTACTTAGCACAATCAAAATAACTTAATATTGGTTTGATATCAGGCTTCTGCTTTGTTGGCTCTACCTATTATTATTTTGTTCAGAATATTTTCAGCCATTTTCCGGTCAGTTTCTTTATTACCTATGAAGGCTCATGGTGCATTTTCTGTTCTTATAAGACTGCTGTAGTTTGCTGCAAATATCATTGTCTTCACCATATCAAAAACTTTAATCTCTGCAGCAAGAAGGAAAAGAAGCGTGCTCGACATGCTAATACAACTAATGGTCGTCGCAGGGGCAAAAGGGGGCACACAGACAAGTAGACTGCGTGTGTTTACGTTTTGGCCTCTTAATGTTGGAAATATTAGAGGTATTCTTCTACAATTGCATAAACCAAAGATTAGGGTAAACGTTGATAGAAGAGGTTTGTTCTGAAACTGTAAAAAACTTCGATCTGATGGAGGCCTGCTTCTACTCATTCTATATAGATCTGCACCTTGGTATGCCTGATCTGTTTGTATTGTTTGCAGGCAGGTTAGCTGGTCGTGTTGTTTTTAGAGGCTCTAGATTATCAAGCAGTGGTGTTGCCATTAGAAGTGACAAATCTTCTCTTACCCCACAAGCTCCCCTGTTTTTGTTATTTTTTGTGGGGGTGGAGGAAATTTGAAAGAAAAAAAATATTAAGGACCCTATTCACGCTACAAAGTTGAAATCTTGAGATTCATAGTTGTAGGACTTGTGTATTTTATTTTATCTTTTATGGATTCACAAATGAAACAACTCGTCTCTGTTTCAGAACTTGTCATACTTAAAGTTGAGACATCCATGGGGATGAATTTTGTGTCCAAGGATTGCTGTTGGTAGAAAAAAGAAAAATAGGGGAGGGTAAACTATGTAGTTAGTACCTGAATTATGAGTTTTGGTCTATTTTAATACCTTAACTTTTAAATTTTCAAAATCATATATAATGTTTAATTTTTGTTTTATTTTAGTATCTTATCGTTAAAAATATAATTTTTTAGTACTTAAATTATCAGTTTTAGTCGGTTTTAATATTTAAATTTTTATTTTTATTTAAAAAAATAATGTTAAATTTTGAAAAAAAAGGAAAGTCTAGATACTAAAAAAGATTAGAAATGATAATTTAAGTATTAAACATGTAATTTATGAAATAAAAATGTAAGTGTTGATTCTAGTTCCACCGTTGGCATATACCAACCCGAGGGATTGGAAGCCAGGTCATCACCGTGACCTGCATCTGTTGTAGGTTTGATTGCTGTTTTTTGACATGAACTTTTCGAATTAGGAAAATCAGAATATGGATCATTTGCATAATCCATATATTAAATATTAGAAGCATTTTGAACTACAATGGATTAATACTATTCAAATATCAAAGGAAGATCAATATCGCATAATATGATCGATAATTCAATAGTATAACTCCTATAATTATTTTATTATAATTCATAATTTACCCTAAAATTTAGTATACTTGTGAATTGAATTTATATATGTTTTGGTAGTGTTATTTGAACGTCTAATACCGATAAATATTATCGTAAACTTTTTTTTGGAATAGTTTGAAATAGAATATAATAGAGTATCTCTTCAGATTTTTTCAATGAATTGATAATGTATATATATTTCGTAGATATAATTACTTGATCTCATGACAGCTAAAAAATTACATTATATTTATTATTGAACTCATTTGATGATTCGTATAATTTAAGTTTATTTAATTATAGTATATCAAATAAAAGTTTTATTACTATTGGACAGATATTATTATGTTTAGAAAAAGGAGGATGTTATTTATACATTTATCAAAACATTAAAAATATATAATTTAGGGTAGTCCATAATAATATGAAGAAATCAAAAACATTTGACACATATATATATAACATTTGAATCTAAAAATTCATTACGTCTTGCACGAATTAACTTATCTTAACAGTTAAAGGAATCATTGTTCATAGAAATCACAAGTTCGAGCCAACGACTGCAACAGGGTGATAAACATTCATTATCAAATGGTTGAAATTATTTAGAACAAATATTATTTTATAATCATCTTAGCTTTGTTTACGTCTCATCGTTATATTGCCATGTGGAAGAGAAAACGGAGTGAAACGTAAAGGGTAAAACTGGGAAATGGGAAACGGAATAGGTTGATCCAAGAGAGAAGGAAAATGGGAAATCCAAGGTTTGAATGATTCTCAAATGGAAGTTGAATGGACAAAGGTGGGAGCTAGAGTTTCGGGTAGAAAATGGCAAAATGGACCATTACCTTAATTAACAGAAAAATAAAATAAAGGAAATATGAATTAGAGAACAAACAGTTCAAACTCACACACGTATGTACAAGCACAGCGTTACGTTATACTTAGCCATTTGGTCATCGGCATTTGCTAGTTGTTGCCGGATCTCTCAATTCACTCGCTGATCTGATCTGATCCAATTTTCCAGCTCGAGCCGGAGCCAGAGCCAGACAGGTACTCTTCCTTCTTCCCTGCTTTCATTTTTTATCGCTATTGCCATTGACATGCCTTTTCCAATCGCTCTCCAATCCAAGTTTTATTCTATTCCATTATAATTTCTCCTTTTGTTTTAAGTAGTAATAAAAAATCTCCGTTTGAGTATTGACTATTGATTGAACTCGCATTTCAATCGTTAGCGCAAATCTGAATTTTTCTCTTCGGTCCAATTCTTTAGCCTTCTAGTTTTATGTGGAGTTTAATTTTCTAAAATCTGCTGATAAGCAAACAATGCTAGTAGTATCCAATCTATCACATGGATGCGCCTAAAGCGTAACATTGATATTGCGATTCTCCGTTATAATGTGTATGCCTTAGTTCTTCCGTGTTTGGCTGTTCATACTATCCCTGTAGCTGTATTGTTTATTATTGGAAGTATGTTTCACCAGCTGAAATTCTATTATTTTTTTCAACAATGTTCTCGATATTTCTGATAGTTATCATGAATTTTAAGTATCATTCTCTGCTTTGTTAAGGCTTGTTACGATGACTGTACCTACCGCTTTGATGCTGATTTTATTTCTCGTTTTCAGATTATGGTCCGAGCGCTATAACCTGATTAGGATATAGAACTGATCTTTGCACTCAACAGTGAACCTGTAAGATGGTGAGATAAGGTAACCGAGTGGTACTTTCAGATACTGACATGCTGCGTGCATGGAAGCAAAGTGTGAAAAATATGCCTGTCATGTCCGGTTTAAGAAAGCGCCCGCATCTGAAGAGGCCACTGTGGATTATTCTATTGGTAATTTTTGTGATCATATTCTTGATTACCGCCTATGTCTTCCCTCTATCAAGTTCAACAGCCTGCTATATCTTTTCATCTGGAGATTGTTCAGTATACTACCAGCCATCATTTCGTTCTAGGGAGCTAAGTGATGAAGAGATAATGTCTCAGGTTGTAATTAGGGAGATCCTCAACGCACCTCATACCCAATCAAATAATTCAAAAATTGCTTTCCTGTATTTGACTCCAGGGACACTACCTTTTGAGCCACTGTGGGATATATTCTTTCGTGTAAGGCTTTGTTCTTGATCATCAATTCGTTTTGATTTGCATTAGTTATGCAACTTTCGTTTTGCAAATGTTGCCATTATTTCTGTTAAATTCATTTATACACACTCTACAAGCTTATTTTCAGATTAATTAGTTGAGAAACAGTCTGAAATTATGAATTCTTGATAGCAAGTTTTGATCTCTGTGACCTTCAGAAAAAGTTTGTAACTGTGTTACAATTTCATCTTCTTATCTTTCTCAAAAGTTTGTATACTTCATTTCTCTGAAAATTTCAAATTTTATAACAAATCAATAGTTTAATCTTTTGCTACAGGGCCATGAGAGCAGGTTCTCTGTTTATGTACATGCTTCCAGAGAAAAACCAGTACACATCAGTGACCATTTTATTGGTCGAGACATTCGCAGTGACAGTGTAGGTGGACTTAAGCCTTGAAAAGGTTCTCAAGAGCAAAGAAGGGAAAATGAAACTTCAAAGGATGGGCGTTCAAATGCAATTTTGGTTTTGATGATGACCACTTTTGTTCCCCAAATTTCTATGAATTACATACTTTCCTGTTTTCCACCATTGATATTACATGTCTGCTTGAATGTCGCTATGTAATGCCTCGTAAGATGTAGGTTATCAAATGCAGGTGGCTTGGGGGAAAATTTCCATGGTAGATGCTGAGAGGAGACTGTTGGCACATGCACTTTTAGACCCTGATAACCAGCAGTTTGCGTTGTTGTCAGATAGGTGATAGAGGCATCAGATTTCATGCATAATATTCTTATCATAGGTATTTATCTAAAAGTCTCATTTTTAAAATATTCTCCTGTAGTTGCGTACCACTACACAACTTTGACTATGTCTACAACTATCTGATGCACACTAATGTGAGCTTTCTTGACTGGTAAGCATTATTGAAACCCTTTTTTATCTTGTCTTGTATTCTGTAAATATTAAGAGTACATAAAAACTAATTTTCCCACTTCTGATCCCTCTCTAATCAGTTTTGTTGATCTGGGTCCACATGGAACTGGGAGGTATTCAGAGCATATGATGCCTGAAATTGAGAAGTCCGCTTTCAGGAAAGGTTCACAGGTTAATCCTTTTACTGTAGTAGCATAGCTTTGAGCTTATTTGTCAATTCCAGAACGTTGAGATTGATATTTCATTTCTAAAATGGAATGTGGTTCATAATTATCTTGCTACAACTTGTGCAGTAATTTTCCCGATGTCCTAGATGTGTCTAATACAGCAATCTCTCTAGTTGGCAACAGTTAGAATAGTCCTGTTGGTTGATACTTAATTACATAATATTTTTTGGCTTCAGCTGGTTTTGGTTCACATTTAATTTCAGTGGTTCTCCTTGAAGCGGCAGCATGCTATAATAGTTATGGCCGACACCCTGTATTACACAAACTTTAGGCTTTATTGCAAGGTATTCTGCCCATCATCATAGTTATTCTGTTGTTATAATCGGTATTATAATATTATCTCAGAGTTATGTTTCTCTATTAGCCTCTGTTCTACTGCAAACTTATGATTATAAACTAATTTGCCCCTCTTGTTGTCAGCCAAATTTTGACGGCCGCAATTGCTATGCAGACGAGCATTACTTGCCAACCTTTTTTAATGTCGGTACACCAGACTTGTTTCTACTGCCTGCATGAATACTCCAAAGACTAACAATGTACTTATTAACCCGATTATCTTGTATATAATTCAGATGATTGATCCCGGCGGAATCGCCAATCGGTCAGTAACATATGTGGATTGGTCTGAAGGGAAGTGGCATCCCAGATCATTCAGGGCCCAAGATATAACATTCGAGTTCCTCAAGAACCTTGCGGTACGGCATATATACACATTCATTCCGTGCCGAATGTAATAGTTTCGATTTGTTTACCGTTGTTATTCACAGATTTCGTTCTTGCGCAGTCCACCGACGACATCATACATTACACGAGTGATCCGAAGGTAAAGAAAAGGATCTAATTATAAACTATGGGTTAAATAATAGTCTGCGGCAGATAACTGTTTGTGTTTCTCGTGGTTTGGCTGCAGAGGAGAATGCTTGTCGGGCCATGTTTGTGGAACAATGCGAAGAGACCTTGCTATTTATTCGCAAGAAAGTTTTATCCGGAAACTTTGAACAGATTGTTGACCAATTTCTCTAATTATACAGCGGCGTAGGCCTCGGCTTTGCTGTCCTCGTTTCGTTTCCGTTGGTAACACTGCATCTAATTATATACTGAATCTGATGGACGGGGAACTTTATTTGAGATAAAACCCCACCTCCCAAGCTTCCCGTTGTTAATTAACACAAAATCCTCCCGTAGTTTTCCGGTTCCAATGGTAAATTTTGGTGATATTATTATTGTTGTTATTATATAGAGATCTTCTACATGCATTTTGTCCGACCATACCAATGAAATTATCAGGGTCGGGGCTAGGACGTTGGAGGTCCTGTGTAAATTCTTAAAAAGAGGCTCTTTTCGTAAAGTGAGTTAGACAAAAAAAAGAGATAAGTTTTACAGCTGTAGCATAGTACTAATTATTGATATTTCCCATATCTTCATTCGAACAAAGCTTTTTGGACTCATTTTTTATAGTTTAATCATCTATGGTAATACCAATAACCTCATTGTGAACATTTTGGGTCCTTACTATTCCGGGATCCTGTTCCGTCGTGTACATTGCGCATGTCTAGCCCCACCTCTGAAAATTATGTAACGTGGAAGTAACTTGATAATTGGATGAGAAAAGAAAATCTAATTTCATCGAGCAATATTTTGGGAGATTCTTTTTATAAACTAATTGATGTGATTTTATATAATTTTCCAAGATAGATGACTTGTGGTAAGTGGACTTTTATCTTAGTTGTCAGTATAAACTAATTTGTACCCTTCATAAGGGTACTCAGTCATAAATAAAGGCATTTCCCAAGAAACTAATTTACCTCACGACATCTAATTTGATAATGACTTTTATAATATGGATACCACACGTACTTTTTTTTGGAGGATTGGATACCACGTGCAAATGTTGGTAAGAAGGAAAGAATCTTTATAAAAATATATTTTTCAAATAAGATATTATTTTTTAACAAAAATGATTTTATAAAAGGAGTGGTTGAATTATTAATTTAAAATCTTATATAAAAAAGTTTAAAAAAAATATACCCTCACAATATTATTTATTAATTGCTGAGATAATTCCCACTGAACTATTGTCACTAGACAAACTATATTTATATACACACAATTTACTAATGATATTCCCTTTGGCTTTGCAAACTGTATGCAACTATTTGCATTACCTAATGAGATTGGAGAGGGGAATTATGGATTATGGAATCACCAAATAAATTTACTTATCCCAACTCAATCGAGGAATAGTTTAAAATTATATCTATTTCTTTCCCTTTAGCTTTTCCATAATTCCTTCTACGATTTAATTTTATATTTATAGGTTACTAATACAGCTAATTATACCCTTTACTTTTGTGATTATATAAATAAACAGACGGCCTAATCTTGCTTTATATATTTATGTACTTAATTTATTAGTGAGTATATATGCCCTCACCCTCTAATACTTATATATTACGCGAGTTCCATAGGATTTAGTGGATTCTCATACTCATTACTTTTTGCTATGATTTTCAGGGGTGAAAACAGATTTTCAATACAAAATACATATAAAAAATCTAAAATATATGATAATTTTAATTTTTCAGGGGGACGACTGCTCCCACCCGCCTCCCTCGGTCCATCCCTGTTTCAGGTACACATACACGTGCATAGTGAATGATAAAAAGGTTCGGGGGATGGGAGTGTATGTTTCATATAGGACATGGTGCCATTTGGTAGGCTTAAAGAGGAACACACGTGAACAAAGGCTTGGGAAGGAAGTATGAAATTAGGAGTTGATTAAAAATTAGTAATTTTGTCCAAAATAACAAAAATTTGGAGTTCATTTCGTAGCCAAGACAAAGACAAATTTATTTGTAGTGAATAATGATGTTTCAAAGAATATGAAAGATTTTGACAACACGGGTTATATGAGTTCTTTTTGCCTTTTCCTGGTTGGCTTGACTCTTGAGTGAGCCAGTGAGGACCATCTTACATTTTTTTATTACATATATATTATAGACATAGCCCACGTGATGCCATGTGGGTTTTCTTACTTATTTTAATTTTTATTTATTTCTTAACTATTTTTTAAAAATTTTATCATTTTAGATATGACCGTTATAAAAAAGATTAAAAAAAAATTTAATATCACGTGTGTATCATATTAGATAAAATATTATGAGGTCGTGGGATCGAGTCCCACGGAGTGCATTTCATAATTCAGAGGTCTTCTACGGAAGCTGCTCTTAACCTGGTGTTGGCAGCCTACTATCTTACCTCCCCTTACCCCATTACATATGGGAACAAGGGACAACCATTATGAGAAAGAATGTGTGTGTAACATCAATTGTACTTTAAATTGAATAATAGATACCACATTAATACATATTTTTATTTATTAAATTGAATAATAAATTATTTATCTATTATTTTAAAAATTAATCCATATAAACTTCTTTTATAAAAAGATTATAAAGAATTTTTTATCGTTATAATTTAGTATAAAAAGTCATTTTTATAGTTAATTTGGATTGATTTTGTTATTACACGAATATAAGAAAGGAAAAGACTAAAAGTGACTTTTAAGGTTTCAAACAATGGATAGCCAATTACGAGAAGGAATATTAGGAACCCCAGAGACAACAGATGCCGCTCCTTTGCGCACTGATTAAGCCCACGACATAATTTTATTTAAAAAAATATATAATTCATACATAAAATAAATAAATAAATTTCAACCCCACGACTAAATCAGATTGAATGGCATAACTGTCTCTCTTCACGTGGACATATCGTGATGCATCTAAATTGGCTTCACCCTACATTGCGGCTCTGCCGATACCCCTTTCCAACTCTTTTCATAGTTTTAAATGAGTTTATACATTTATCAATAAATTATAAAATAATATCTATTTAAAATAAAATAATTATTTATTTAAATACAATTATATTATACACTAATCAACTTATTTTAGTAATTAAAGAAATCGTTGATGTTCCTAGAGATTACGAGTTCAAACACAACGTAATTAAGGTTCATTGTCAAATGATAGGAAATATTTAAAATAAATGTCATTTTATAATCAACTTAGCTTAATAAAAAAATATAATTATATCATTCATTTAATTATTAATGATATTCGTAGACTGAATTATGTTGTTGATGATCGCCCCCAAGTCTGCAAGTCACTTGATAAAAGCAGTGTCACCAGCTGGAGAAAACAAAAGAAAGCATTGTCACCAGAATCTTGATTAGAGAACCAAGGCAACAACTTAACAAACATTTATTTATATATGTATATAATACTTAATTAAAAAAAAAAGGAGAGATTCTTTGTGCAAACGCAAACATCCATACCCCACGGATGGATGGGTGGTAATGGTATGTGTACCCTAAATCATATCATAAAGGCATCTGTGTACCCTCGTTCATATTGCAACCCATGGGGACGAGGTCCCACAATATCTAGATTCTCTACCAAACCCTAACCTATCAACATCATCCTCAACACAGCTTTCCTAAGACTAGTGATTTAGTTTAGGGTCCTCTAGCTTTTATGTGTCTCGTCACCACACTGACCTATAAATATATATGTATATATATACCCCCCAACCCTTCCTTCCCTCACCACCAACATATAACGTACTTTTAAAGAACGCATACATTGGAAGAAGAAAAAGGGAATGGCCGGAGTTTGGGTGTTTAACAATGGTGTATATCGGCTCGAAAGTAGTCCCCGGGCTCGGGTTCTGGTGCACTTGCCATCTGGTGAGGTCGTGTCGTCGTACTCGTCGTTGGATCTCATTTTGAGGGGCTTAGGGTGGGAGAGGTACTACGGGGGTGACCCTGACCTCTACCAGTTCCACAAGCACTCCTCCATTGATCTCATTTCCCTTCCTAAGGATTTCTCCAAGTTCAGCTCCGTTCACATGTACGATATCGTCGTTAAGAATCCCAACATCTTCCACGTGCGTGACATGTGACTGTGACCGTCACGCTTACTCGATCACCATCACATACAGATCTCTCTATATGTATATATGTATCATGCTGCATTACCACTCTCTTTTATCTTCTTCTTCTTCCCTTCTCCGCTCAGGTGCGTTTAGGGCATTTTCATGGCTTGTATAATACTTCATGTTTAGGGTTTCAGTGATTTGCTTGCCATGGTGGTTGCACGTGGGTTACATGAAAACTGCCTGCCAATGCAAAGTGAAAAAAGATTAAGGTGGACTGGTGTTAGTTTCATGATTTTATGTACTGCATAACGTTTGATTAGTATATGTATAAAAGTAATAACGATCAAGGCTGCAGTTGTGGTGATTTTACCATCGATCCCATGACTTTCTTCCATGTCTGCGACAACACAAACGTGTCGACTCCGATGATTCTGGAACTGATAATTTTTCTGAAGGAATTTGCGTTTTCAAACATCTTTTTTTTATAATTGCGATCATCGATCAGCTAGTCTATATTTTTTACAGCAGACCCAACCTAAGAGAATTGTGTTGATTAATGTGCGGTAAGTGATCACCAATGATAAAAGAAATGGCCACAACAACACAAGGGTCGGTACCGATTCAAAAAAAATTGTCACCAAACATTAATATACATTTGATTACATGTTAGTTTTATAAAGAGAACAGTCGGATAACTTACGAGTTCAGTACTTAAGTTGAGATATTTGGAGGGCAATACTTTGCAGTGATGATCATCCAACTTAGGGGGCGTAATGCGACAAAATAGATCATGAGTTACTAGAATTCGATTCGATCAAAGCTCAACCAACACTCCAATTGAATGAACTTGACTCAAATTCTTAATGAGCCGAGGTCAGTTATTTGATACCTAACTCAAAAATCTCGCGAGTAACTCGAAAAGCTTATGCGTACTCGAAAAAATAATATATTAAAATTTTAAAATTAAAAGTGCAATATAAGATATTCATGTACTTAAAGTTTAGATTCAAGTTTAAGCTTGAATTCGAGCTTAGTCCGAGAATTTTCGAATTCAAGTTTTTTCAAGCTCGAGTCGAGCTTCAACTTTTTTATTTCGAGTTTGAGTCTAGCTTGACGATTTTAAGCTCGCACGCTTTTGAATCGAGTTAAACTTTGAACTTTTTGAATCAAATTGAGCTCAATACTCAAATTCTACTTGAGGCGTTTACAGCCATAATCCAGCTAGGTATGATTTGTTCCTGTGTGAAATGACGACGTGTACTTTTAGAAACCTTTTATATAAATGTATGTACAAAATAATAGGAATAGAATGGAAGGGAGACAAGTAGAGACAAAAGTACCTCTGAATGCAAGATTCGAGTGTGATTATTGAGGGTGGATTATGATGGGGCGGGGCCGCATGGCCCGAGCCAAGGTACTGGGAGAGTGAGGCCATATGGGGTATCACGTGAAGCAGACCGGGATACTTCATTTCACCAGGTGTGACTGCACGTGGGACGTCTTTCTTTCTTTTTTCCTTTTCCAATTCAAAGTAGAATGCAAATTGTTTGATGTACTGTAGGCATGCATACATCGTGTCAATTTATGTATTACTAGTACTTACTGCTTTCCTCTTCCATGGCTTTCAAATCCCAATTATGATGTACTGTAGGTAACCGATATTAAGTAAACGTGCGACATGTCAAATTTCAACAGTATCACATTCCAAACCTAGATTGAACGAAGCATCCTATCCACAATATAAACATACATACACATACATGTATGCTCTTATCATAAAGATCCAGGGATGCAAGCAACATACATCTTCATTCAGTCATTACAGACCCGAAATGCCAATTCCATACCGGGCTAAAACTAGGCTCCAAATTTAGCAACCTTCTACTGCCTTGTAGTGATAATCATCAATGGAGGAGTACACCAAACCTTCCCTTTCAAGAAACTCAATAGCATCCCTATCATATATAGAAGATATAAGGAACACAAATAAATAACAAAGCTATAAGTAAATCCCCAAAACAAAAAGCAAATTCACAAAAAGGTACTTTATCTTCTCTATGGGAGCTTTCAGCTGTTGTGAAAGTTCATTTAGATGCACCCCCATTTCTCTGTCACTGCAAATAACAACCACTCAAATCAATTTAGAGAAAAGCTAACAACAAGAGCAAAGCCTTCAGAAAAAGCATGTGAATGCATTTGATGAATGTCTCTTGGAAAATTGCAGTACCTTAATGAAAGTAAAATACTTAAATTGCTTTTAGATTTTACTTTCACCGTAATGAAAGTAAAATCTAAAAGCAATTTAACTATTTTATGCAGATAACACATGCACGTGCCTGTATTTTTTTTTTTTTACACATAACAGGTTTTCAAAATCAAAATATTTTGAAACCCACTTTCCCCCTAAGGGGAAAACACAATTTTAGTTCACTTACATAATTGCTGGTTGCTGCAGATAGTTCAGGACCAATTTTTCAAAACCCTTGAATCCATCAGTAGTATATTGGACAGACGCCTGGAAAAAAGAAAAGAAAAGATATATATGGAAAACATAAAACAAAGAAGATCTCAAAATTTGACAATAAGCTATCATATTTTGATTTCATACACCATTCATCGTGTCGAAACGATTTTTTTCTTAAAAGTGAAAAAGTGAGATTTTAAAAAATCACATTAATTTTTAATTTATCTCTTTCAATTGATTTTTAATTTAAAAACAAATGCGATTTAAAAACCTCTCGTTTCGAAAAATTTTAGATTTCCTTTACGATCGAAAAAAAAATACGGTTCAAAGAGTCGCCACCAATCTTTGATTAGGATGTGATTGGGCACCCAAAAAATGCTTGTTATTTTAAATAATTTTTAATTAAAACAACAAATTAAGGTATGCGTTACCAAAATCCGAGTTCGGGAGTCGATTACGTGCGGGGAAGGATTAGCACCCCCACAACGCTCTACAACGGTACCTAGTCGATTAATTAATGTCTTTGCATTGAACTTTACAAATTCGAACTTAATTTGATTTTTGATCCATAAAACAAAGATGTAAATTTAAAAACATTCAAAAGCACTCAAATAAAATAAATTAAATTAACATTACCGAGTCGTTTTAGAAAGATAAAGAGTGTTCGATTATTTACAAATATCGAGACCATATCTTAAAAGCTATAACAACCTTTTCTCGATAAATTTAAATAAACGAACACTTCATTTTCTTTCGTTCCCAAATTTTAGGTGGCGAATCAATTTTTTGTTTCACTTTCGGGATACACTTTTAATTTAAAATTGTCAAAACGACCATCTAATCAGTTAAGACAGGCCACTTAGGACAATTTTAAATTAAAATGGTATTACCCTGTAGTCCGATTATGTAACATGTCGAGTTATGCAAATGAAGATATCATACAAATTGTGCAAAACGTATGTCATGCCAAAAATTAATTAAATAAAATTACAAATATCATACAATGTGACATGCAAAAATTATATATATATGTTTTAATTAAAAATCATAAATTATGCATATTAACATATTATGAACACATGTGACCTAAATACAAAAACAAAATCATAACATGCTAAATTATAAATTTAAAAAATGTATATATACATGTTAAAATAAGGACTAAATTTAAAAAATGTAAAATTCAGCATACTACATAAATTCAAACCATTTTAACATGAAGGACAAATAATTCAGACCCTAAGTTGCTAATAAACCATGAGCATGCATAGGACTGAAATAAAAGAACATAAAACAACATATCAAATACATAAACTATACGAAGTACAAACAAATAAACTAGCCTAATCTAATGTAAACTAAAAGGAAATGAAGCGTAAATTAAAAATATATATAGATATATCACTAATTAAAATAAGGGTTAAAACGAAAATGCTTAAGTTATGAGGGCCTAAACCTAATCTATCCTTAAGGTCACGGTGACTAACAATAATTAACCCTAAAGTTTTAATATATAACCTAACTAAAATTAAACCTAATCTAATGTAAACTAAACTTACAGCCGCATCAGACTCCTTTCTTCTTCTACTCTCCCCTCATGCTCACACCAGAGAAAAAAACTATTGTCGCTTCTTGAAGGAAATAAGAGAGACCCAGAGCGGATATTTTCATAAGAGAGAAAAGGATTCGACTTTGGGCTACTAGCAGGAGACTAAGGAAGCGCCTTCTTTAGAAAATTCTAAGAAACCGTTTTGTGGAATGAAACCAGAAGACGATGAAGGGAGTAGGTTATGCGAATTGTTGGAGTTGAAGCTGTTGGGTCTTGAGATTGGTTCAAGGGAGTAGAGAAAGTGCTCGAAGAAAGTCCCAAGCAAGCTTTGGCCTTGAACACAAGGGACTACAAAAGGATTTCAGGACTAATGGCCAAACGTAACAAATCCATGTCAGGCAAAACGAAGCAAACCAAGATTAAGGTAAACATTTAAGCTATCTCATTTACACTTCTGCTAGTTTCAAATAAGGAACAATAAAAATGAAATAAAATAAAGTTTCAGAAGACGAATTAGAGAAGGACCTTGGAAATTTACTTACTTATACTCGAATGCTAAAAACAATTGACTTGTTTCTATTGCTTGCTTCCAACGAACCAGGGCCAAGGAAATCCCTTTGTGACAACACTGTTTGATTTTTGAATATGGGAAAGAAAATTTTTACACCACTGTTCTTTTCTCTTTGATCTATTGTGTTAAAAAAAACCAATGAAATCTTTGTTCTTCTCGTAATGGTCGTTCTCCGCTTCAATCTTCTTGCTCGTTTCCTTTGTTCATTCCCCCCTTTTTTTTCTGTCGTTCTCTCTGTAATCTTGCCCGTGTTCTTTTTTTGCTGTGTGATCCCGCCTCCTTTTGATGATGAGTGGTTATCTTTTTTATGGATATCCCCACGTCCCTCATTTGTTGCAGGTATCTCCAAACGGTTGCACAGTTATGGGACTTGTCTGGCATCTGCTGGATAAACTGTTGAAGATTTTGGTGATGTCTCCACCCTTGAGCCTACACTTGTGGGTTAGTCGTGTCTTGGGCTCCGACCAAATGGGTTTGCTCTGATTCGGGCCCCTATTTGAGTCATAAATGTAATCTTCGGCTCGAATAAAGCTCGGACAAAATGAGCGTCTACACATCGAAGCTGGCTGGTGCACGTTTGATGCACCTCGCACTGGAGTGCTCAATGATGAATCTGTCATCTTTGGCTGCGCCAGAGCACCACCCTCTAACTACCATTAGCACGAGGAAAACACCAATCAAAAGCAATACTCATCTCAGGAGAAGAATCACATGCCTAAGCAATTATTAGTTAGCAACTTTAACAGTTTTAGGCATAAAGTACCTGTCCTTTGGAATTCTGCACATGGCAATATATGCACTCAATAAAGTGGCAAGTAACTTCATCAAAGTTTGTCACGGGCCTGAGAATTACAAGAAACCCAAAGAAACAATGACACTAATGCTTACAAAGATGCACAGTAGTGTATTGAACAGAAGTCAAATAGACATATCCTAGGAATATAACAATTAAATGGAAAATGGCAGAAGTGAAGACATGGTGTTAAAAAAATAATAGATAAAAGAGGCACTGCACTTCGAAAGAAGCTCAATGATGTCTAATGGTACCATAAGAAGACATTAAATGAAAACAAGGTGAACAATGATAGATTCTCGGACAGTAGGCTCTTTTGGCATCAATTTCACATTGCAGTGCCAAACCAGAGCAAGCAAATAATTAAACACCAACTAAAAAGCACTAAAATGTTCTAAGAAGCATAAAACAACAACATTCATCCTTGTTTTGACTCTACTGCTTGCTTCATTGGGAATTTAGAGAGAGCTAACTTAACAAACACATATAAATGAGTTCATAGAAACAATGTCACGTGATATGGATCAGATGGAATCAGAAACATTAATATGATTAGATTATGGACAGAGGTAACACAATCAGAAAATTGAAGAAATAGAAAATTTAAACCGTACCTCACACTGAAGGCGTTTAATTGCACTTTGCCTTGAAAGCTTTGCAAGTGTCCAATGACACAGACATAAGTTCCTTCCCTACTGTACAATGGTAGTAAAGAGTGTAATAAGATGATTTTTGTTGTAAAAGCATCCAATGACATTTCAAAACACAGAATAAATCACGACCTGTCAAATTAAATACAGCAGTAAAGTACTTACTCTAAGGCATCCATTTCCCTTGTGTCAACACTTTCAGTTACCCTGATTGAAACAATTATTCATTTAAATGAGATAGACTACGAGTTCATGTAAAATTGCTTCTCTAATTTCAACATTGATTTCAACTGTAGTAATTAAACAAAAGCAGAAACTAGGCTACTATTATTAAGGGAAACTCTAAATAATTGAGGACGTTCATAAATTAATTTGATTCAGATGGAAATTGGTGAATTACCATCTTATACATTCAACTCGGCCAGTTCCATCATCAAGGTCGAAACGAACATCTGAGGACCTTACATTTTTGTTAAACAGCATCCCAATTACCTTAACCTGAAACAGCGAAGCGCCCCAAAAAAATGAAAGAAAATGAAATAACCCAATAGTTGAGTACCTAGATTGAAAAATCTTCAAAACTAAGCTTCACGAAATTGGAAGTTTGAAACTAAAGGACCATGGCTTGAAAATTAGGATTCATTTCATACAAAGCAAACAATTAAAAATGCAATTGTCAAACGGTCTAGAAAATAGTCCATTGTTAACATGAGCACCGTCAATTATGAAATTGGGCTTCTCATCACCAGATCGAGAAGCTTCACTTATCTTCTTTACCGTTACTGACAACAACCCCTGTGTGTCATGGCTCTGTTAATCCCAAACAAAATTAAGAGAACGGAAATTAGATCGACTACACAAATTTATGGAAACAATACTTTAGCTATTTCCTGGGTATAATGAGTAAAGGGAGATGACCGACTCTTACTTGAGATGGAGTTGAATTAGCGAAGTGAGAAGATTGGGAAGGCATAAATCCACCGCCAGAGAAGGCGGAGACTGCGTCGAATTGGCTGCTTGAGAACATATTTGGAACTCTAGAGATAGAGAGGGTGGAAACTTGAAAACGAAATTACAAAAACGAATGTATAAGAAAACGGAATTAGAAGAGAGAGATTTGATTTTTCCGTGTCTACTTTCCAGCTACTCAGTTTGCTTTTCCCGCCTGCTTCTTGGCCGCGAAAAAATGCAACAAATGGTAAACGCAATCTCCATTCTCCGCACGTCATCGTCTCTGGGTTTTTAGCAGTAGTAATTAGGGGTGTGGTAAAATCAATTAATCCATCAAATCGAATTAATTTAATTAAATGATTAGCTGTTAATTTTTTTAATCAAAAATGATTAATTTTTTTCATAGTTAAATTATCAAGTAATCCAATTTAAAACTAATTAATTAACTAAATTAATAAAATTATTCATATTTATTAAATATATTTTATATATTTTTAAGCTAAGAGCTGTTTGATTTGGGGAATGTGGGATCCTCATGGGAATGAAATTCACATTCTCCGTGAATCTCATTCCCGATAATATTTTATTACTAATAGTGGATTTTTTTTGTATATTACCAGGAATGTCATTACCCCTTTCCTTAGGTAGTGTTAGATTATCAGCTTTTTGGATTAAAATGCCCTTAATTTTTTTTCAAAAATATCATTCTGTCATTGAATAATAAAAATTCTACTAATGTTAAATTACAAATTTATTCTTAAACTATTTTAGATTTACAAAAAAAATCTATAAGTAAAATTTTATATGAAGTTCAGGGGTTAAAATAAAATTTTACCATTTCATTAAATCTTTTTATATTTTTCAATTTTGTAAAAAAATTATATAAATTTTATGAATTTAAATTTTTTAAAGAAAATATATAAATATTTTCCAACTTGTTAAAAAAACAAATATATAATAAGGACAATTTGGTTAAATATACATTCCAATAATTTTTTATTCCTTTAACCAAACACGGTAATCTTACATTCCTACTAAACCAACCAAACACAAAATACAACATCCCCAGTAATCATATTCCCTGGTAATCTTTTATTATCAGTGGTAATCTTACATTCCGTGAACCAAACGTACCCTAATAGTATTAAAACTGAAGGAATATTGATGAACGTTCCCTACTTCTTTTTCTGTTCAATTTAGAGAAAATGGATTCTCAAATTTATGATTCGCAATCATGCTTTAATGAATCTTTTGCATTTTTTGGCTAAACCTTGGAGGTCATGGAGAGCATTTCATAATTTAGAGGTCTCATACGGAAGCTATTCTCAACTTAATGTTGGGGGCAGCCTACTATCTTAGCTCCCCCCTTACCCCGTTACATATGAGAACAAAAGACAACCAACCATTTTTTAAATAGCAATAGTCATGTTTAATCTGCTTTCTATAGTTAAGATTGCTTTGTTTAATCTACTTCCAATTTTTGGTTAATTCACTCTAAGCTCCATGTTTGAAGATGAGAGTGGCTTGGGAAATTGTACAAGGTTAATTCTTTCTAAATGTACATTTTAATTCAAGTTCAAGTTAATCAAATATGGAAGTGATAAACATCAAACAGCCATATGTAAAGCTTATAAAATGAGGAAATGCATTTACATTGGGCTTGGGTGCAAGCAAATTTAATAAGGTGCAAGGTTCTCAACACATACAATATAATATAATACTGGAAATGATAATGTGCCGAGAGTTAGCAACTAATATGGGACATTCTTGGGCAAGTTCCGAATGACATTATTCTTCATGCCAACTTTTGTACGCATTGCCTCCACTCCCTTTTTATTCATTGCTTTCATCACCTTCATTCTCACTATTTACTCTCTTGACTGCGCAGTTGCTATTCCCATACTCCTGTACCTGAAAATCAATGCAGAATTCCCCCTTTGATACACACACACACACATGATTATAGTTGTTTGATGGTTGTTGCAATTGCAATTTTTAATTTCCTATCATAGATGATATAGACTAAAGATTTGGGTGAAAACAGACCTAGAGGCCAGAGCAGCTGTAATGGCCATGTTATTTGCAGGTGATGGACGAGGCTTCTGACGATAGTAGCACAAGTATTCTCGGGAATAACAGGGAACCAAGCGTTTTACTTGTTATTCCCTCACCAGAGCTTTTGGTTATAACAAGCTCCGAACCACCAACAAGTTCAACAGAGTTGCCTGTTATAACCAAAAGCTCTGGTGAGAAACATAGCTCTGGTGAGAAACAATCAGCAATAATTATCTAAAAACTTGAGTTTAGGGTTTTGAGGGAGGAAGGGAGAGGGTAATAGCCTAACAGGGCTCGCCAAATATATTGATATCATGTATATATTGTTACAGAGGCAACCTCCTCTCCTAGACGGTGACGGTGAGGTTGAGGCGGCTCAGCCAATGACGTATGAGACGAGATAAAATGCTGAATTCCAACCTGATGGGCTGGGCTTCCATTTGAGTTGGGTTGAATTCCAATGGTTTATTCAGTTATTTTGGTTGATTATATGTTTTTAAATCTAATTAATTAAAAAGTATACTTATATAAAAAATATATAGTCTTTCTAAATATAAATTCAAATTTATTATATATTATTTTAATTATTATTTATATGCAAACCGTCTTATCAATAACATGAATTATTATGATAATATTATATTGATTAGTTTTAGATTTAATTGATTGTGAAAAAAAGTTAAAAAATATAGTATTTATTTTTTTAAAGTTTGAGGGACTAAAGAACCATTAAACCAAAAATAATAAATAAAAGCCCTTGCTCTTGTTCTTAAAATCTAGACCATACAATTCATTTCCAGTCCCGCCGAAAATGGCTGAAAACATAATAATACTTGAGAATTTAGGCCAATTGATTAATTTGGAAATAACGGTTATTAACCACTCTAGAAAAGGAACAAATAATCAAAGAAATTCATCCGACAAATCACCATGAGACCTGAGCCTGACGGGCCCCTTTCTAACTAACCAGCTTCTCTTTCATGTTTCATCCTCCAATATGGCTACCATTTCTGGAGCATCCCCACTCCGAGACGCCCAATCGGGTGCCATGTCACCCGAGACTCCTTACGATTGGCCCGGGTTTCTCAATTCAGCTCTAAGTAACCCTAACTGGATCTCCAGGAACATCTTTCCTCCCACTCGCGCCATTGTTACTGGTGCCGGCCGGGTGCTCACCTCTGTTCTTGGCTTTGAGTCCTCATCCTCTTCTTCATCTTCGGAATGCGGTTCCTGTCCAGGTTCCATCTGCCCTTTTTGCACATATATTTTCAGAATGCGACTTTCCCACTAACTCACTCTCAACTTAGTTTAATGATGATATCTTGGGTGGTGCTGATAGCTTTAATTCTAGTTTTTTTTCCATCTCTGCAATCAAAGTATGAGCTTTTTTGTTAGCTGTTCAATTCCACACAAAATCGGAGCATAGCATGATTGCAGGCAGTAACGTTAGTTTAAATTTTGATTGTGTTATGCTTTCCTTTTGCAAAATGCTTCGCTTTGCAAGCCAACCGCTTTATAGCTGCGTGTTTTCTTGGATGCTACGTACTGTAATTTATTATTCTTGCGGCTGTCTTCATCTTTCCCGTCCTTTTTCAAGATGACCCTAACCTTTAAAATGATTATTAAGCACATTTCTTTTATAGAAATAGAGGCTAACAGATTAACATTGGAGGAGAAAAACAATCCATGATGCTACATTGTCCATGCTTCTGAAAGCAGTTTTGTTCGCTCATGTAGCGCATTGCTTTTGTTTATTTATATATATATTTTTGGTGCAGATGACTCTCTTGACAACAACGATGACCAGGAAGTCTCATCTCAAGGGGTTCATGCAATTGAAGATGTAAGTGTTCCACCCTTTATCCTTTATGCCATACTTCAAAAGGAATTTTAATTTCTCTCTTAAAACTTATGTGATGATACGGGTAAATTTGATGCAAATTTCATGATATTCTTTTTCTTTATTTTTGCTTACTTGCCATGGTAGCATGTACACATTCCTGACACAATTGATGATAATAATTATCTTAGAGGACGCTTTAGTTGTTCCTTTGTGGGGCATTAGAGAGAGCCCCAATCTTTTGCAGGAAAGAACAAAGCTAAGCATATAGTAGAGCAGCTTCTCATGCAGGAGTCTTTCTCAAGGTATGAACTTGATTTTCTTACTTATTTGGATTATTAGCTTGCTTTAATTCCCTTTCTTCTTCCTCCATAAGGTGTTCTTCTCATGAACTAAAATATGTGATTGATACCTAGTAACGCATGTACATTATGACATGTTTGGTGTTTAAATTCTTGGGCAAACTTCGCATGATATTTTTTATTGATTTAACTGATTATCTCTCATTTTTATGTTGCATAAGCATAGTTTAAGTCATAAATGGATGCTATTTTGACCAGGCAAGAGTGTGATAAACTAACAGATATTATCAAGTCAAGAGTTGTGGATTCTCCTGCAATCTGTGGCTTGGGGATTGGGAGACTAGATGAAACACCTGAGAGAACAGGTGGAAATAGTACAGCTTTCATACACTTGCGAGATACCTGATTTCAAGAATGAAATAACAGCATTCATGGTTGACTGATTATGTTGCTTGTTTTTCTGATGCTGAAAATCATGATTTTTGCAACAAAGCTGTTTTGGAGGCGGCAACAAAGTTGTTGGAGGAGAAGAAGTCGGGACTAAATTATAAGTCAGAAGTGCCTCATGGGACCTCTGCACTGAACTCTGTTGTGCTGAAACATGTTTGTAACTCTTTTTATTATATTATTACCATGATACTTCCTGTTTCATCAATGATGGTAGGCATTGCCAGCTTCTTAAGTAAGGCCGTTGGTATTGATTAACCCCCTTTGCCTCATATAACCTAATAACTTATGTTGAATGTTCTTTTCTTTCACTACTCTCATTGATTATGTTCCATCTCCTTTCTGCTTTGAAGAGTTCCTCTACCTCTATCTGCTTATAACTTTTAAGCTGATATGTTTAATGGTTTCATGCCTCAGATAATTTACGTCGAATGTTCTTTTTATTTTTCTTCTCCTTCTCACCTTGGTTCTGTGCCATCTCTTTCTGCTTGGAAGATTGAAATTATGCTCTACCTCTGTTTTCATACAACTTTTAAGCTATTGCCTTTTCATGTGTTCTTTGCTTCGTTTTCTGGATACATGTCTGTCCACGTCTCTATGATGTTTGTGTGTACCTTAAATTTACCTGGTTTCATGTGTTATAAAATACCAAAATATACATATAGAATTATATATACATATAGAATCATAGTTTACTCACATTTGTGAAGGCAACAATCTAAAGCGATGTCATTTCCTTTTCACATAAGTTTTTACTGGAGTACTGATTTAAACACCACTGGTGTTGAAGAAAACTAAAATGAAAACTGTTGATATCTGATTGCTATATTAGTACAAAAATATGCCCATTTCTATCTCAGTAAGTTTTATTGCAGCAGGATGTTGAAGGTGAAGTGGGATCACCTATGGACATGGCCAGGTCATACATGCAAACCCATCCTCCATGGGCATCACCTTCTAAAAACAATACTGATTTTAGATCTCCATCATCAGTTGCAATGTCACTCTTCAAGGAAGAGCCACCATATTCAATTGGGGCCAATTTCCTGTACTCATGCAAGGTATAGGCTTATTCCTATGAATGAATTTATGTCATAATTCACAATGTCTCTTATCTAAATACATGTAAAAAGACTGATGGCTACTTTGGCATATAAACATGTGGTTTGATCATAGATGGATATGTATGATTTTCCAGCTGACCGTTTGTGTTACTTCTGCAATTGCTTTTGGGGTTGAGCATGTGTTTCTTTTTTCATAGCAGAATAGAAGCTAAATTACAGGTTTCTCTAACCCGAAGCTGTTTAAACTTGCTTAACTGGATTGGAAAAGATGCATTTCAGTATTGTGCATGTGGTCTGGGTATAAGTATGATTGTCTGCAATTCCTTTTTTCCCCTTGGTTGTGATTTAATTTGCTGTTTATTGTTTTAACACGAATGCAGCGGAAAAGAAATTCTCTTGCCAACGGCTCATGGAACATCCAAGATGAAATACGAAGAGTGAGATATAAAGCAACAGAAGAAATGCTGGGAAATCTACCGTCCTCAAAAATTGGTTGGCCTTCATTACCATCAGAAAATAAAAAGGTTCCTGATTCTAGAGTTTCCATTAACTTAGAACCTGCAAAGGAAGACAAGTCACAGAGGTCTAAAAGGCCAGTAGATGCATCTATAGGCCTGGCTACAAAACCAGGTGCAGTTTTTGCTATCAGATACTGTTTCTAGGTCATAAACTCATAATGATCAAAGACATTACCTCTCTTCCTTTGTCCTTTCAGCTTCACAGATTACAAAAGATGTATTTCATATTGATGCTTTACCAAGATCAACTCCACTTGGTTGTGAACAAAACCTGGTATGTTAATGGCGGAACATGAAGCTCTCATTGTGCTTGTTAAAATGTCTTTAATTGTGCAGTTATGCAAATATTTATGCCTTTAGTTTGTAGCCAAAATATTTCCATTGTTTTTATAGATTAGATTAATGTTAATTCATTTATTAATCAATGTATATGGTATTTGATAAATTTATTATTTCTTACAAAGGTTATGCAAACCACTCAAAGCATTGAGGTGGAAAAAGGTATTCTAACAATCCTTTCTTTCATTTATTGTCTCATATCAACATATACTGCATAATGAATATTATTTCATCAACTTGAGGAAAGACTGTTGCAACCGTAATTTTTACTTGGTTTCATGTCTGCTTGTTACAAAGCAATCAAATAATTCAGGATGTTGGTGAGACTTCCAATTATTATTTAAGCATTCAGAGAAATGAATATCCTGTTCACTTTATAACTTTCAGTTAGGATTATACTAAGGTATAAATAAAGGTTGATGAGTATCAGTAGACTCAAAACTGTACTCCATCCGGGCATTGTAAATTTCTTTCACCTAAAACATAACCTATTTTGTTAAATTTTCTTTGTCACGAAAAATTTCTGGATTTAATTAGTAGGTGTATGCAAGTGCTCTCACTTGGTTATTTTCTAGTTAGCCGCTGTTTTGCTTTCATGCTTTTGGAATTGGTCATGAAAGAACGTAGGAAAACGTGGGGTTGTCCACCAGTGCAATTCTGTTATTCCCGAATTTATGATTACTGATTCGTGGACATAAACAGAGCATGTGGTGTCCTATTTGTGGAAGATTGATGGGTTATCTCCATCAAAATCTTCCAGTGGTTCAATGCAAAAGTAGTGGTCTTATTGTTTAGATTCTCTCTAAATCTAATGAATTTGTGATCGAGACATTTCCATTTTCAATTGTGGATAATTGCAGCTACACTTTATTCCCTCTTTTTTTCTTCTCTTTTTTACATAGTCTTTTTCGCTAATAAATCTTTTCCTCCATAAAATGTTTCTAAATGAGATTTTTGTGATCAGACGAGACATTAGACGTGGGGCAAAGACTTCAATCACCAATATATAAAGACTGAACCACATAGGTTGGTCTATATTTCTCATTAAATCCCATCCCACCCCAAAGAGAAATCAGCACTGAAAATGAATGATTCCCTTGGAAAATTGTCTCTTTGGTGACAAGATCAATGTTCATTTTCTTTGATTCTAAAAAAAAAAACAATGTTCATTTTCTTGGAACTTCTAATCTATTCATGTCTTAGTGATGTTGATGATCCCGATACCAATCGTTTAAAGGAATCCAATGGGCCTACCCAACCGTTTAGCTGTACTAATGAAGGGATTGTTCAGGGTAAGAAACAACTTAAGTTTTTTTTTTCACTTGATGCTTACAAATTAATTTAACTCTTTTTAGCTCGAGTAAATACTAGCTCACCACAACTTCCACAACAGTAAAATATAACAGTTTGCATGATTCGGATAGAGTGATTGGAGGATAAAATAACTTGGAGAATTCTCAATTGTAGACTTTATTTATTGTTTGGGTGTTTATTTGCATGCAACATTTTTGGTAGGAGTAAGTTGGAAATGGTCTGTCATTTAATGCTTAGTTTCTAACAAGCCTGCTTCACCGCTAAGCATAATTTGCAGATTCACAAGTAGAAGATGAAAACTATTGGACATTAAAAAAAGTTGCTGGAATAGGCAGTCCCAACGGGTTCCCTTCAGTCTCCAAGTAATACAGCTACAGCTAGCTTTTAACCTGCATGGTTTAAATTTGTATAGGCTTGATTAATGTTTGTTTAATCAGTTGTCCCTCTTTTCAGTATGTCTTCTGAAGCGGATAAAGAGCAAAATCCTAGACCAATTATTAGCAAGGAAGACGAGGCAGTTGCACGCGGAGATGACAATGCATCTGGAGTTGTGGCGGAGGAGAAGCGTAAGCTTCTGTGTGAGGCTTCTACGGAGGTGCCAACGGCGAATGAAACCGATGCTGCTGCCTCTGGTTCCCAACACAGTTGGAACATGCAGCATGAAGGTTCACCAGGCCAGAATACACCAACATCAAAAGGCAGCTTGGCAGGCAAAAGCGACTTTAGTATAGAGCAGCAGCAGCAGCAGCAGGGAGAGAAAGTGAGCAGATACAGCATGAGAGACAGAGGACGACGGCAATGACACTGTATCATGCAAGGACTAATTGTAAAATGGCGCGTGTAAACTAGCCGACGCGAAAGATGATGGCATGACAGACGGTACATTTGTAAGCTGTAGGAAAATTTACAAAAACGGCATCAAAGCCACCCATTCTTTTAGCTGCCTGCGTGTAGGGTGGTTGAGATTTAGGCGTCAGATTTTAGGTGGGAATCTAGGTCGTTACTTTTTCATCCATTAACTTCGGTACAACGATCATTCAAATGCATAAATATAAAAATTTATGAATTAACGACGGATCTAGAAATAAAAAAATGGGATCTAAAATTTTAATTTATTCTTTTAAAAATAATAGGTGTGCAAAAAAATTTATTTTTTTTCATTTTTCTTTAACATATTATACTAAATTTTATTTTTTTCTCCAAATAATGCTGTTATGAATGGTGGTTAAACATGAATTAGATAATATATGTAAAAATCAAAGACGGAAATCAAGCCCATCATATATTTACAAGCATCTGTTCACGTTACAAGTCCTCTACGACAATGTTTTTTCCTTGCCTCTTTCTTGATCGGACTGCATGTATGTACCAAAATGATTGATTCACATTAAAAATAAGATGACGATTTATATTCATTAATAACACATAAAAAGTATATTTTGACTATATATAAAAAATTAAAGCTTAAATATGTATTTTTCTTTTTTGGGTAAATTATGCGTTTAGTGCCTAAACTATCAGTTTTAGTTTGTTTTAGTACCTAAACTTTCAATTTTTTCAAAACCAAACCTAAAGTTTAGTTTTTTTATTTCATTTTAGTACCATTGTTCAAAATTTAACGTTAAGTTTTGAAAACAATTGAAAGTTTAGGTACTAAAACGGATAAAAACTTATAGTTTAGGTACTAAATATGTTAAGTTTTTAATGATGAGATATTAAAATGAAATTAAAACTAAACTTTAGATATGATTTTGAAAAAAATTAAAACTTTAGATACTAAAACGGATCAAAACTAAGAATTTAAATATTAAATGCGTAGTTTACCGTTATTTTATTTCATTAAGGGCCAAGCCCAATAACTGATGAACAGTTTCGAATTCAAACGGCGGACATGGGCATGAGTCATTTGGGAGGGAGGCGGGTGATTTTGGTTTTTTTGCCCCATCAGGTTTTTTTATTTAGCCCTTAAGGCGCCTGGATTTTTATTTTAGAAAATACAATAATATTACAATGAATCTAGAACTTGTTATTTTGAGTTGACGAATTTTAATAAAATATATATATATTTTTTTTGTTAAAATTTATCACATCAGACTTACAAAATTGAATAAAAATATTTTTTATTCAAATTCTTACCTTAAAGTGATGACTGACAAGTTTCCTGCACAGTAAAAAAAACCGTATATCCCAAAATAAAAGTACATTTGGCGTATTTTGCAATTTCTTTTCTGGGCTGCCCTATTGGGCCAAAAAAACCGGTGATTCTTTATACCTCCGCCACCTGTCCTCTCGTCTCCGGTGCTTGGATCAATAAAGATCAAAACCTAGGATCCGGTTGCTTTAGTGAAAAAGAGTTACAATAACAACAATGGATTCCTCAATAGCCCAGAAAACATGGGAATTAGAGAACAATATTCTGACAGTTGAAACACCAGACCCTTCGTCGGATTCTATATTCTACTATGACGAGGCGGCTCAAGCCAAGTTCCTGCAAGAGAAGCCTTGGGCCAATGATCCTCACTACTTCAAGCGCGTCAAGATCTCTGCTCTGGCACTCCTCAAGATGGTTGTCCACGCCCGATCTGGTGGTACAATAGAGGTGATGGGGATGATGCAAGGGAAGACTGACGGCGACGCCATCATTGTCATGGACGCCTTTGCTTTGCCTGTTGAAGGGACTGAGACTAGGGTTAACGCTCAAGCTGATGCCTATGAATATATGGTCGACTATTCCCAGACCAATAAACAGGTTTGTTTTTAATTCTATTTTTTTATGATTTTGCTTTAAAGCTGGCGTTGATGAAACCCTGAATCAGCCCAGTCTCAGTAATTTAAGTAGTATAGTAACCTAGCTAAGACTAACGGGAAGAGTTGATAATTATATACGGAGACGGAAATGCCAAATAAAATAAGTTTTTATGAGTATGCGTTCCTTTCACTGCTAGGAGCTAATTTCTCATCGTTGCACCATCTAGATTATAGAAAGAAAAATGATGTTAATTGAATTTGAGCTGAACTGGATGGTTTTCACCTGCCTCCTCGCCGTTATGTATGCTGGTTAATATATTGCTTTAAAACAAACCCGTTAGCACTGACTAGTAAATAATTAAATAAATCCCAAGAAATATCAAGCAAATTTGGGATTTCTCTTCAATCACTCAATGAGTGTAAGTTTAAAAGGCTATAATTGAACACTTTTTTTTATAGGAATATAATTGAACACTTGAAAAGGCAAATATTTAGGCAATGTGAGATATGCTTCTTTGCATTACCCACAATATATATTTGTATCGGAAATCTGTGTTGCTATATAATCGCATGTGTCTGTAAATATGGTAATGCTGTTCTCTATGAGAACCATTTCTCTTAATAAGAAGAATAAGATGGTTTGTTTTGTAGGCTGGTCGTTTGGAAAATGTTGTTGGATGGTACCATTCTCATCCAGGCTATGGATGCTGGCTATCTGGTATTGATGTTTCAACCCAAATGCTGAACCAGCGGTTTCAGGAGCCCTTCCTGGCAGTTGTAATCGATCCAACAAGGACCGTTTCGGCTGGAAAAGTTGAGATTGGAGCTTTCAGGACATACCGTGAAGGATATACGCCTCCCGATGACCCCATCTCTGAATATCAGACAATTCCTCTCAATAAGATTGAAGACTTTGGTGTGCACTGCAAACAGGTTATTATGAAATCCAATTCGCCCTATTTTCAAGAATGCCTGTCCTCTTGCTGTGGATTAATTTGTTGTATGTTTTTCTGCAGTACTATCCATTGGATATCACTTATTTCAAGTCATCTCTTGATTGTCACCTCCTGGATCTGTTATGGAATAAGTACTGGGTAAACACCCTTTCTTCTTCACCTCTCTTGGGTAATGGAGATTATGTTGCCGGACAAATTTCAGATTTAGGTAGCTCTTTTTTTTTTTTAATAACTCTTATTTTCTTGTTTAATGTTGTTATCTTGTGAGTAAGTTCTTGGTTTATTTTGTTGACACCGTTCCATGTTGCAGCTGAAAAGCTGGAGCAAGCAGAAAACCAATTGGCTCACTCTCGCATCGGCCCACTAGGACCCCCTAGAAAGAAGGTCTGTATCATTTTTGCTATTTTGTATGCTCAAACTATTTTCAGAGGATAATTCATCTTTCTTTCAATGAATGCAATGTGGCTGCCCACTTATTAGTTGCAGGAAGATTCTCAGCTGGCTAAGATTACTAGAGATAGTGCAAAGATAACTGTGGAGAGAGTCCATGGTTTAATGTCACAGGTGACTTAGCCGTTCCAGATTCTTGGAAATTCTTTCTTTAACCTTGAATTGATTATAACATTCAGTTTCAACCATCTCATACCTTTAGGTCATCAAGGACATTCTTTTCAACTCAGTACGACAGTCAAACAGGTCCCATAGTGAGCAATCTGGTCCTGAGCCTATGGTTGAAGCCTGATCCTAACATCCTGCAAGATGAAATGGTTACCTTGAACTTGAAAGACCAGTTTTTGCAAGAAGAAAATACATATATACGGGATTCCAGGTTGTGCGGTGTTAGAAATCGACTCCTTCATGGCGGGGGTCATCATTGATCCGTTGCAAACTAAGCTTTTTGCCAAATTCTGTGTTAATTTATGCATGTCGTGTAATAAATTTTGATTCCAAGTTTGCATACTATGCCCGCATCTAGTCTCTACTTTTAATCTTCTGTGCCAATTTTTCCAATTTTCTTCCATGCCAGTAACCCTTTTTGCCTCGTCGATGGTTCAAACTAACGATTTGCACAATAAATTTCTTTTGTTTAACATAATCATTACTCTTGATGACGCTAATAATAATTTAAGAAACGGTGGCACAATCATACGATGTAAACGTCAGTAGTCTGGTCATGTCAACGGGTTGTAGCCTATGCAAAACTTTGATGTGTCAAACTCAAAGGCCACGGAGAAAGGAACCGTGTGTCTTTGGCTCAATGAAATCAGTTAACCACGTAATAATAAGCGGTATGGTTGGATGATGAAAGGAAATGAGAGCAGTGGGAAAGAAACCAAAGCCACCAGCATCATCAAATTAAGAAAGACACACCCAGGTGTAGTGCTTTTCACATGCAAAGGAAGCACAACCCTTGTGAACCTCTGTAGATGAATTGATTGAGAAGGCTGGTGGACTTGCACGAGTATTCCAGGCGTGTTTTAGTCGTACAATGTATCCAAAATCTGTGGCACGACCAAGTGACTTTGGTAGTAAAGAAATTGTTATCACTCTTTGAAGTCTCGAGTTCGAATACTATGAATATTAGGAGTGTGAAATTTTAATATCAAATGACTGAGAGTTATCTTTAAACAATTCCTCTACTCATTCTTTGCTATAGGGTCTTCTACTTTCTTCCCCCCCCCCCCAAACAATTCCTTCTTGTCAATGGCAATATGAAATTGTAAAGACTTGGTGAAATGATGGATAACAGCCCCAGTTAAGCCATCTCGATCTTTCTAGTTAATATATAATGTAATCCCCACAAGTACTACACATTGAACATTTCAAAGATGTGTTTGAAAACCATTAACGCCATATACTTGTGACAATTGAAAATCCAACAAAATGATCAGATCCATTACAACACCGCAAACTGAAAGATCTATACAGTTTAAAATTGTAAAGGAAATGCAAGGAAAGCAGGTCAAATGGGTAAACATATTTTCATAGCAGAAATCCATACCAGACAAGGCTCATATAGGGAAATCTCAAACTGTATCTTTCCGGCACTGGTGCTGGAAACAAAAACAATGTTAAGTCACTAGTTAGCATAAGATTAACCAAATTTAAATATGATAAAAAAATTATAACAGAACATGTAAAAGTTAAAGTCAGATTTTTTTTTTATAAAATCAAAATAGACATTAACGTTTAAGGCAGGTCAACTAAATTAGCAATAGACATTAATAATCATTCACAAGTGATCATCTTTATGCTATCCGCACAACATTTTAAATCAAGATTGCTTTATCAGATCATAAGAGTAGATTCACATATAAGTTGGCAGTGCATATATCTGCAGAAAAACCCTCATCGACCATTTCCGCTAGAAGTTGTTTTGCCTTTGAGCTATTGTTGTTCCGGGAGAACCCCTGGATTAGTATATGATAAGAGATACTATCAGGCAAACAATCATTATCCCTCATGCTCCTGAACAACTTATCTGCTTCATCTGGTAATCCCTCTTTGCAGAATCCACTAATCATTGTATTATATGTGTAAATAGTGGGTTTTAAGCCTTCCACGGAGAGCTCATGAAACAATTCCTTTGCAATAGGGATGTAAAAAACTGACCTGATTTGTAAAACTGACTGAAACCGACTTGAGTCAAAACTGTTTATGACCCAAGGTGGTAGTGATCTGAAACCGATTCGAGTCTGAACTGGTGTTGACCTGAACCCGAGTTGGACCTGAAAATTTAAGACCTGCACCCGAACTGAGAACAACCTGACCCTGAATTAAACTTGATAATGTGATAACCGAACCCGACCTGATATGAATCTGAACCCGAGATTAACCTGGTAAATAATTATTATTACCCGACATATTATCAACCTGACTTGTAATAAACTTGATCTGTAATTAAATTAACCTGTAAATGATCCAATCTATTATTAAATTGAACTGATATTTACTTGACTTATAAGTTACAATTGATGAAGTTGTGAGATTTTGAATTTATAATAAACTATGACAATTAATATGATTACTTTTTAAAAGTTAAAACAAATTGTTAGTTATGATAATTTTTTTGACAACTAAATAAACTATGATAATTAATATGATTACTCTTTAAAAGTTAATATAAATTGTTAGTTATGATAATTAAATTAATAAATTTACTTTCTATATTAATTATAATCCTTATATCATAAATCTTAATTATAATCAGTAAATTAATTTTATTAAATAATTTATTTATTTAACATGATTTTTTATATTATATAAAATTAATTTAAATATTTATAAGTTTAATTTATTTAAATGTATTAGTTAATTAATAATTTAAACATAATTTAACTTAAAATTTTAAAAAATATATAAAATATTAATTAACTTGAGATTGAAAATCTTAAATTTTAAAATTGAATCATCAATTTAAAATAAACAATAAACTTTTATATATATATTCACATTAGGGATAGGAGAACTTTTTAAAAGTAAGATTGTTTTTTAGAGGAAATTTGATTGTTTATAAATTTAGAACAGGTAATTGTCTAATTTTGACAAATTAAATTATTTTGCCAAAATTTAGAAGAGGGAAAAATTGATTTTTTGAGAATTTAGAAGAGAGAAGAGGGAAAATTTGATTTTTTTTTTTTTTTTGAATTTAGAAAAGGGAAGAGAGAAATTTTATTTTTTTTGACAAATGTTGGCGTCATTTTTAATTCCCAATAGATTTTTAGGTTAATTAGAAACGCAGTCCTCTGACAATCAGTGGTTTTCTATTTTGTTATTTGTTTTTAATTTATTTCATTTTAGTCATGGTCTAATTATAAATCTTTTCTTAAATTTTTCAATTCAATACAATTTAGTACTGTATACATTCTAATTACTTTTATTTTCCCTTCTTTTTTTAATGTGCACAAATTTAAATGTGAATATTAATTTTAAAATCTTTTATTTTAGTCACTTATGTTTAATGATATATATATATATATACTTATGTACATCATACATATATACTCATATATACATATACTTATATATTATACTTTATACTTACTGTGTGTGTGTGTGTTATTTTTTTAATGTGCACAAATTTAAATGTGAATATTAATTTTAAAATCTTTTATTTTAGTAACTTATGTTTAATGATATATATATATACACTTATGTACATCATACATATATACTCATATATACATATACTTATATATTATACTTTATACTTACTGTGTGTGTGTTCTTTTTTTAATGTGCACAAATTTAAATGTGAATATTAATTTTAAAATCTTTTATTTTAGTCACTTATGTTTAATGATATATATATATATATATATATACTTATGTACATCATACATATATACTCATATATACGTATACTTATATATTATACTTACTCTGTGTGTGTATATACATATACTTATATATTATACTTTATACTTACCGTGCGTGCGTGCCTTAAAATTTATTTAATTTTTTACTCAATTTTTAAAATAAATTTAATTCAATCTATTTTATATTAATTTTAGTTTCATATTTTACAATTATTTTGGATTTGGTCCCTACATGTTGTGTAATTTATTTAAATTTTAATTTGTAATTTCATATTTGTTCAATTTAATCCTTATAATTATATTTGTATATGAAATCAACCCATACTTATTTATATTTTTGTAATTTACTTCAATCTAGTCATTAAAATTATATTTGTATATGAAATTAACCCATACTTATTTATTTTTCAATTTGATGCATCATACATCCGTGTTATTTAATTTATTTAAATTTTTGTATGTAATTTATTCTTTATTCAATTTAGTCCTTGAAATTATATTTTTATTAAAATTGGCTCATAATTATTTATATTTTTTGTAATTTACTCCAAATCATATACAATTAAAAATTACAATTCATCGTTCATAAAAGACGAAAAATAATTAACCCAAAAATGATTTGAAGTCAATTCGTACCTGATAAGATTCAACCTGAATTTTGTCTATTAATGATGGACACAACCTGAACGAGAACCAACTTGAATTCCATCCGAACATGAATTAACTTGGAATTTAATTAATTTGGACCTAAACCGTTTTGGCCTGAACTTGTATCAATCCGAACTAAAATTAACCTAATCAGAACTCGAAATAAATTTGATGGTAAAATCAACCCGAAAATGACCCGAGCTTATTTGACTTGAACCCGACCTAAGTCAAACTATCAAATTGACCTGACACGACTTGTATCTAATTTGACCTGACGTGACAGAACCCGACTGAAACGTCAACGATTACCTGATTTTACATCCCCACTTTGCAACATCAATACGTTCAGCTTTGAACATGCCATTAATTAGGATATTGTAAAAGCGAATATCGAGTTTCAACCCACTATTCCGCATCGCTTGAAAATTTTTCAACTTCTCTTTAAGTCTACCACATTTGCATAAACCTTCCAGCAAAACCAAACAGGTCACAACACTTGGAACTTGTCCAGAAGCAAGCATTTCCCTCAAAAGTGCACATGCAGCATAAACTCTCCCTAATTGAAACATACACTGCATTAGAGTGGTGTATGCGACAGTATCTAGAGTTGGTCCTGCTCGAGATATTTCACGAAAGAGTTTCAATGCTTCATCTAACCTTTTAGCTTTGCAATATCCATTGATCATGACGCTATAACTATGTATAGTAGGTGCACAACCCTCCTTAATCATTAACTGAAACACTCTTCTAGATTTATCCATTCTGTTCTGCAAGCAATGACCTTCTAGCAACATAGTATAGGTTACAACATCAGGTTCAACGGCTTGCTTTCTCATCATGTCAGTAATGTCTTCAGCCTTCGAAACCATTCCCTCCTTGCAATAAGCATCAACTAATATATTATATGTGAAAACATCGGGGTCAATGCCTTGCTTTCTCATTGTGTAAATGGTATCTATAGCTTCAGAAATCCTACACTCCTTGCAGCATGCGTCAATCAAGATATTATATGTGATAACATAAAGTGAAATATTGCTATCCATCATTTCATTCAAAAGCTTCCTTACCTCCTTTTGCTGGCCCAAATTACACATAGCATGTATTAAACAATTGTAAATAACAATATTTGGTTTATTGCCCTTAGCCTTCAATTCCGAGAAGAGACCAAGAGCCTCTTTCAACAAACCATTCTTACAAAAACAGTCAATGACAGTGCCGTATATTACAGCTCTATCTGTATTGTCGATCTTACACAACCCATTAAGTATAATACTGTAAGTAACTAAATTAGGTTGATACCCTTTTTCAACCATTTCATCGAACAAACTCACAGCCAGAGAAAACTTACTTTGTTTGCAAAGTCCATTAATAAAAGTGGAAAAGGTTACGACGTTAGGTTCAACACCTAACTTCAGCATTTCCCCCAAAACAGATAACCCAGAATCAATTCGACCTAATTGACAAAAGCAATTAATCAAGATGCTCAAAGAATAAACATTGTGGGAAACTCCAATTAGTCCCAGTTGGCTATACATAGAAACAACAACGACATAATGTTTCATTATAACCATGGGTACTACAAATAGTTTATTGAATTCCACAATTGAAGGCTTCGGGTATTTCTCAATCAACTTATTAAACAAAGCCAGAGCATCATCAACATTTTCATATCGGTCGTACTTTTTTTGGGTACTTAAAGGCTTGATGTTGGCAGCAATAGTGTTAACAGAAAAAGAAAGAGAAGAGTGGAAATTAGGAAGACTCCTTCCACCACTAACAATTGAACGAAGAATAAAAGAAGAATTAAGCTTGCCCATACCTTGAAATGAAGCAAAATGGAAGAAAAAAGAGCAGAGATTGAAATGAAACCACAATTAACAGTGCACAGAAGTCGCGAGAGGCAGAGAGGAAGAATGCCTAAAGAAATGAAATGAGAGAAAACTTGGGAGGATGGCAATTGCAGTTTCGATTTAAACACTTCGGATCCCTAATTCAACTCCTACTCTCCTAGTAAACACTAACTCGGTATTTTGATATTTGATAAATTACGTATTTAGTACTTAAATTACAGTTTTAATCCGTTTTAATATTTAAACTTTTAATTTTTTTTAAAATCATATTTAATGTTTAATTTTTGTTTCATTTCAGTACCCCTATTGTTGAAATCTCGTTTAGTACCAATTATCAATTTTGATCTATTTTAGTACCTAAATTTTTATTTTCAAAATTTAACATTAAATTTTAAACAGGAGTACTAAAATGAAACAAAAACTAAATTTTAAGTATAGTTTTAAAAAAAAATTAAAATTTTAGGTAATAAAACATATCAAACTGATAATTTAGGTACTAAATAAATAATTTATCCGATGATATTTTATCCTTTCTAAATTCAAAATAAAAAAATATTTTTTCTTAAAAAGCTAATAATATTTTTTAAACCATTTTAGTAACTTTCATTATAGCTGTAGTACTGGATAGATATGATCAAGGATCATTTTCGTCTTACATTGTCACTTTCGTTTATAATGTAATCAGAGAAAAAAATGAGAGAGACGGGAGGACATGAGGCCCTATTTATATATTAAACTTCTAGTATAAATTATTAAATATAAATTTTATTCTCTAACGTAAAATTTTATGTATGTCTATGAATGTAAGAGAGCGAACTACTCTTTTTAACAATGTAAGACCTCCATATTTCCAATTCCCACTTTTTATATATTTTTGTTGTTTAGTTTTATAGCAGTCTAAACTTCCCTGGTATCCTGACTATAACTGTTCAAAATGTTAAAAATATGGATGACAAACTGTAATATTCAAAGTCCAAACCTGACTATACCTAAATGAATCAAATTTATATGAGATTCTGGTGAAAGGGGCAGGATGAGAGAGATGAAGCCAGAATATATGCGCATGTAAAGCAAGGCAATAAGAAATTGGGGATGTTCCTCTATGCTAACTAAATGATGGAAATCCAACAATACCCAATGATTCATAAGTATATATGCATGTATGTCATCCTATACAACCCATACAATTTTTGTACACCACATACTGAAAGGAAAGTACGTGAAGTGCTAACTGGGGCTCCCAACCTGAAATGTTTGCTGCGATGCTTGTGGTAGATTCAACACAATCTCCGCGTATGCTGATGGTACAAAGAAGCAAGAGGCAAACCAAGTGTTAGTGGAAAAACTCAATGAAAATCAAATCACATATTACTTATCCGCTCATAGCAAAGCCAAAAAGTAATAAGGGGGTTTTAAGGCAATGAAATTGCCATCTCATGAAGATTTCTTCAAACTTGAATCCAAACAAAAATTCAGCAGCAAATGATGTTTCACGACACCAAACCAGGAACTTCTCAACTGAAGCGGGAAAAGTAAATGTAAAAGTAATACCTTCTGGTAAGCTCATGGTTCTCAAGGCATCTTCCGCATAAGATAATCGAGCTGGAATAGGTTGGGAGCCCATTGCTCCGCTTGTATGATTCTTCTTCAATCGATGCATTGGCCACACAAGAACTTTTACTCGAGTTGGAAGAACAGAAACAAGATCTGGATATCTAAGACTGATTGTCACCTTGCTGCAACAAATGCAAACATAACAGTCCCATCAATGGCCAAGCAAAACTAATTACTTAACATGTATTGCCTGTTTAAGATAATTATTGAACCTTATAGTGAAGACTATTCTAAAAGAAAAAATTATTCGTATTCACTTTTCTATTAAAAAAAATTGAAAATTAATAAAGACTATGTATCAATCTACAGGCAAACACAACGAGACTGTATGTATCAATCTACAGGCAAACACAACGAATTTCAGAAACAAAAATATTCCAAAGATACAACAAAACTATGTAAATATACAGAAAGTACAAAGTGGACCAACCAATCAGAATCATCAAGTGCAAATTCAATCATGTGGTACGGAAGACTATGATACAGCTCTCCTATTTGATTTCCATACAGCTCCTTAACAAGCCGAACCTGTCATGGTGGAAAACATCACTTAAACATGAGAACTACTGATTTGGGATAAGAAAAAATAACAATTTCATAAAAGCAACATGACAGCATTACCTGTTCACGCCTGTCCACATAAGCATGCAATAATTCTCCAATATGATCTATAAACCTCTGAAAGTATATAGATAAACAAAAATATTAAGAGCTGATCTAATATCATTATCTTAATCTAAAAACCAGATATGCAACCAAGTTACCATGGCATTAGAAGAAAGAAGATCATTTTCTACTTCTCGTAGTGGCAGAAAGAAAGGAATTGTATGTTCAATGACAGTCATCTTTTCAAGAAAAGACTTGCTCTCTAGCACACAATGGTACAGCTCACAAGGTTCCCCTACCAAAATTACAGAAAAAAGAACCGCAAGAGTAACCCTTGTCACATATATGAAGGACGAATTCATTTTCTTATCCAACTTCTCTAAAAAAATTATTTCTTTAAATCAAATACACCACACAATATAAGCCTTAGCTTGAGGTCATGACTTTTCACATGCCATGAGCCAATTAAATAGTTAACTGCAGATACTAATAATCAAATTATAAAAAACTTCTTCAGTAGTACCTGCAAAAGATGTCTCATATAGTATGCCAATTCTTGTTCCTTCCAAACAACAAATCACCTGTTCACTTATAAGTTTGAGCTCCCAAAAAATGATTTCACAGATACAACAATAAAAAAGCACGTACATAAGAGAGTTGTTGCAATACTGATCACTTAAAACAAAACCTATTGATAGTTACACATCTTTCTGAAACTGACTAGCCTAACTATAACTAAGAACTCTTTTTTCCAACTTCAATAGCTTACAGATTCATGAAAATTAAAAGCACGTCCCCCTTTAAATTTAAATCTGATCCCAGAAACTGTTAGAGAGCTGCCCCAGCTTTCCTCATCTTTGATTTGAGTAAATTTTGATGATATTAATTTCAATTAGCATTCTTCCAAATCAAGTTTTTGAGAGGAAGGTTTTAGTATCAGTTATAATCCAGATTATAGATCTTGAAAATTGCAAAAAAAATATTATCAATATATTTTGTTACCTTATTTCCGACTCTGTAAGTAACCTTTTCCTGGAAATGAGATGTTGGAATGTTGTTTGTGTCCCCAGACGTGGCCTTTCTATCAGCCTCCATATGAACCTGATCAAAAACCAGATAAGTTAGCATCTACACAACTTTTATAAAATGGGGAGTGGAGAAGTTATCATTACCAGAATGAGTAATTTAAAGCAAGAAAATCATTCAATGTCAAGACAACTCCACAGTAAAATTTTCTGAATTGAACAGTAAAATAGAACCACAAACAGAAGGGGGGAAGCCGGAAGCACAATTACTTTAAAGCATTCAGGAAAAAAAATAGATACCTGCTCTCTTATTGTAGCTAATAGTCCGTCATTCCACTGTTCACTATCTAAGTTAATCTCTGAATATCAAAAGGGGGAAAAGGAAATTTCTTGTCAGAGTAATAAATACATGAATTATGCAACCTTTTTTTCATATTAGATAGGGTATAATACCAAATGAGATTTTGAGCATATAGCTCAGGCATTATAAAACAAATATTTGATTGCTGCAAAACGCAGTTTTGGAAAGGTTACTTGGTACTGCAAATGCATATATTTACCTTGACTCTGAGAAGCTCTTGCATCTTCAAATTCTTTTTGCAGACGCTCATATATCATCTTATCAGAATCCCTACCAAATCACGACCATTTGAAGCATTAACCCTCAACGAAAAAGAGAAAGACAGAGAATACATGCTCGTTCATCAGCTTTATACTCTAGGTTCATAAAACCAACAAGAAATCAGCTGTCCTAGACAAGTAGGTATAAGACATCAGCGCTATCATTTTTGTGTAATCTATCCGTACCAGTATAACAAAGAAGATCCCTTAAGAATAAGGACAGAGATTATATATATATACACACACCTGGAGAGACGCTCTGTAAGTTGGGCGTGCCTTTTGACAACATTTGCAACTGAAAAAACGCAAAAGAAAATCATTTCCTTTAGAAACAGAAATATAATGTATACATAAAGAATTACTATAGGAAACAGATATTAGTTACATCTTGCACGTGTAGTCTCCAATCGAATATCTTCCTCTTGCATGAAATTCTGTACCAATTACACGGTGAGATTTTGCCCCAAAACAACAATTTATAACTACAATATATGGCTGAAATAAATTAAAAATATGTAGGAAATGAATAATTACTACTTCTCCCATCTTTAAAGGCTTGAAATACGCTTTTAGCTTGCTGGACCTTCAAAAAAATTTCAAACATTTCATTTCAAGCTTGCATTTTAGCAACAATCCGATAAATTAAAGATCATACTATATAACTAGCTTAGCTTGTATAGATTAGTTAGAAACAGAGATTGGACACTTCATTAAACCTTGTCCAAGAATCCTTAACAATTCGGCGTGACGGATTCCACGAGTGAGTGACCGCTTTGCTTTCCTGTTTTCTTTGTAAATTGAAACCGAACCCTAAAGGCCAAAACAAACTGGGAGAGGCGGGAGGAAAAAGAAAGGCTTAAGGGAGAAGGTGTATGTTCGTGATTTCCATCTATTATTATATCAATGGGCTCAAATGTTTGGGTAAAATTGGCCCAATAGGCCAAGCAGGTAAATAAAATAGTCAATTAGGTCATCTACAAAATTAATTTAAGATTTATGACAAATGTTATAATATATGATAAACTTGTCACGTCTATTTGACGAGTTTATCTAAATAATATCTTTTATTAAAATATGTCATGTTAAAGTGATGAGTTCTAATAAAATATATTTTTTATTATATTTTATCAAGTCAAAATGATAAAATTCTAATAAAATATATATTTTATTAAAACCCGTCATGCCTACGAATTCAAAGTCACTAAAGTACATGCCATAGTTTCCAAACTAAAATAAATGGTACTGTATTAGACTAAATAATTAACCCACTTATGATATTAGACCAAAATTACCCAAATGTTTGTGCTATTGGGCGATTGCTTTTACATTTTCTACAATGCATTGCGATACGAGGAAGTCTTACGTGCGGCAACCTAATATACGGCTAAGGAAATACGCTACGGGAAATGTTATTATTTTTTAATATTTTCGGTAAAAATTACCTAAAACATTATTATTTGTACCTGAAATGTTATTATTGGGTACTTTACCGGGTTTGTTAACATATCTGGTAAAGCGCTATCTAAAACCTTATTTTTTTCTATCGGAAATGTTAATATTAAGCACTTTACTGTAAATGTTAAAAAACATTAATGTTTTAGGTAAAAAAATAATAATGTTTTAAGTATTTTTTTTACTACAAATGTTAAAAAATAATAACATTTCTGGTAGCATCTTTCTTTAATCGTATATTAAAACCAGAACTTCTCTTGCAATACTGCTTAAAATAAACACCCTGGGATTTTCTCTCTCTTATAATTGAGTATACATGGTAATTAAAATTTAAATATTAAAAAAAGATTTTTTTTAAAAATTAAATATTAATTTATTATATAATAAAGAAACTAATAAGAGATTTGTATGAACCCTTCATTCTACTCTAGTTTGAAGTTCGATCTAATAACAATTCTTTTTTTTTTATCTTACAAGAGGTAAAATAATAACATTTAATAGCAAAATTAATTAAATAAGGGTTTAAAAGAGTAATATTAAATTAAGATAATGATATTTTTTTAATATTTCTACTATTTAATTCTATTTTAAATATAATTTTAAAAATTTTGATTTGGTTTAACACTGTCAAAAAACAGTGATTAAAATGCAAATAATTGTTGTTTAATGGATTGAAAGATTAATAGCAATTTAATTATTTATATAAAAAAAACAAGATTCAAACATAATAACAGACAAAAAGAACTGAACAAGTAAAACGTGATGACTTTAAAACTATCTAATTTTTCTTACATATGTGTTGGTATTTGAACTTGACTTTAAAGTTTAAATTGGTAATTTTTTTTCAATTAGTTATATGAATATAGATTTTTAGTTCAAATTAGTGCATCAACTCAACTTCTTAGTTTAAGGTTTAATAACTTTATAAGTATTTTAATACTACTACACTTTTATTTTTATGTTTAAAAATTAAATAAGTCCTTGAATTTTTAATTAAAATCAATTAAAATATTAAATTTGATAAGAATTCAATTAAAATTTTCTATTATATCATCATTTATATAATAATAACTAATACTATCAAAATAAATAATTAAATAAAAAATAATAATAATAGCAGCGAGCGAGCGAGCGAGCGAGAGATGGAGCTAACGTAAGACAAAGCCGTGTTGAAAATATAGCATTAGCAAACCAAGAAGAGGAAGGGGGAAGGAGAAAGAGGAGAGAGAGATAAAGAGGTCGGAAAAAGAAAATGCACTCACAGAGATTGTTTATATATTAGTATTATTTTAAAGAAAGAAGGAAGGAAGGAAGGAAGAAAAGGGGGGGAAAAGAAATCGATAGACGCTGCGAGCAATCCAACCCCAAACCTCGACACCAATCAACAACTGTTGTGGCGGTGAATTTCTCTGCAATCGGCGGAGCAACTTGCCTAAGGTTAGCCTTTTTTTATCAATCGTTCTTAAGCTTCTATCTCGTTACTTCTTGCTTATTTTTCTCTGCAATTCCAGCTCTCCTCATCAGCTCTTAATCCCACCAAACTCCACTGATCTCTTTCCCTCAACTTCAATTTCCCCATTCCCCAGTCTTTTCCCTTTTTTCAATTGTCTTTAAAAGTGATACCTTTGGGGGTTTCGATCGCTGCACTGTTCCCCCTTTTTTATTTGCGGTTCGTGATGTTCGAACTTTAGGGTTTTGATTTGTGCTTTGCGTTTATTCAATCTGTTTTTTTTTTTGTGGGGTTTCTGTTTATTACTTAAGTGGACTTTGATCCCTAGGGTTCTTATTATGCAAACATGAAATTTGGGTTTGCATTGTATGAATGGTTCCTATGAGGGTCTTAGGGATGCGTGGAAATTGGACTTCTTGATTTTTTTTGTTCTTCATTTTTCTGGGATTTCATTCTTGCTCTTTTTCTCTCAAAATGCAGAGATTAAGAGTTTGATTTGCATTGTATAACATGCAAATAGGTGGATTCGGACTCCTTTGGTGTTGGAGAAAACTGTAAATTGGGGTGGAAACAAGTTTCAGTGGTTTTAAAGTTCTGTGAATGGTGTAGAAATCTGTTTATTGAGCAATGCAGCCACAGCAAGGCTCCAGAATCAATTTAGGTGATTTAAAAGCCCAGATAGTGAAGAAGATTGGGGCTGAGAGGTCAAAAAGGTATTTTTATAATTTGAGTAGGTTTTTGAGTCAGAAACTCAGTAAAAGTGAGTTTGATAAGTCATGTTACCGCATTCTTGGAAGGGAGAATCTGCCACTTCATAATCAGTTGATACGTTCAATATTGAAAAATGCATGTCAGGCTAAGACTCCACCACCAGTTCATGAAGCAGGTCCCACTAAATCTTTGATACAAAATGTGAAAAGTTATGTTGGTAGAGATGATGGGCATGATCCAACTGGATCCCTTGTACCCAACCGGAATCCGAACATGGCCATTTCTTCTAATGGGGTTTTGCCAATGTCATCCCTGCGAAAGGTTAGATCTGGTATACAGGATAGGAAGCTCCGGGATCGGCCCAGCCCACTGGGGCCGAATGGAAAGGTTGAGAGTTTCTCACATCAACCCATGGATACTGAAAACAATGGCAATAACTTGGGTCTGGAAAATGGGTATTTGACACCCTATGATTATCAGCGACCATTGCAGCATCCTCAAGCAGTTCCTGAGCAGCCGGAAATTGAAAGAGAAGGTTGGGGGCATTCTATGGGGAAACCAAGGGTGCTTAGTAAAGGTCTGACTGAAGGAGCTATTGTTGAAGATGGGGAGGAGGTGGAGCAAGCCAACCACATTGATTTCTCCAGAAATCCTTTGCGTGCCCCTCTTGGGATTCCATTTTGTTCAGCTAGTGTTGGTGGGGCCTACAAAACTCTGCCTGTGGCAAGCAGTGGCGACTTCGTTAGCTACTATGACAGTGGCAGTTTGTATGATACTGAGACATTGAAGAAACGTATGGAGCAGATTGCAGCAGTGCAGGGCCTTGGAGGGGTTTCATTGGAATGTGCTAGCATGTTAAACAAAGTGGTGGATGTATACTTGAAGAGATTGATCAGATCGTGTGTCCTGGTGTGGTCAAGGCCTTCACATGAATTGAGAAAGCACTCTGCCCACACGCAGCAGCATCAGGGCAAGCTTGTTAATGGTTTGTGTCCAAGTAATCACTTGCATATACAGGGTAGCTCTGGGCCTACAGAAGTTTTGCAGGAACAGGGGCAGAGGCGCTCAATTTCTTTGCTTGATTTTAAAGTTGCAATGGAGCTAAATCCCCAGCAGCTGGGTGAAGATTGGTCATTGCTGCTGGAAAAAATATGTATGCATTCTTTTGAAGAATGAATGCTCAACAAAAAATTGTTTATCATGAAGCTGTTATAAAGATATGTTCATTCTGGTTCACTGTGCTTGACAAATGTTGAAGCTCCCATTTTGTTTACACTTACTGACATGAACCAGATTGCTCCCAGTCAGATCTCTGTCCCCTGCAAGATTAAATTATGGGTTTGAGTGTCGGGAAGCCTGTACCCTTTGCTGCAGAGCTGGAACAGGTCGATTATTATTTTTGAGCAACTGAGCTAAAGTGCTCGAAAAGGAAGTACTTGCAACTTGTTGCTCTGTTGTACAATTAGCATTGTTGTTGGCTGTCTTCTACAGATCTCAATATTTCTTGTAATTTACAGCCATTGAAGAGGAAATCTAAGAAAGTTTTGCAGAGACACTGCCTTGTAGCATGGTGAAAGGTAAAATTATTTGTGAAAGAGCTGCAGCCTTGCTCTATATGTAATTTTAGATCTGAGAACTTATATTTTCCACTTGGTTTATATTTTACTTTTCTGCCAAATGGCCACTGAAAAACCTATTTGTGAGGCTTTGATTCTATGTTTTTGTGGAGTTATGATTTGTTAATTGTAATTAATTACCATTCAAGAGATTTGGTGGCATACAGTTTTTCGTAGTGCTCAAACTACTGTTCTTATTTTGTTGATTGGATATGTATTTTGGTCTCCATTTTACTTGCATGTAACATAGTGTTAGATGGACACAATCTTTGGGTTTTTTCTAACAGCATTAACTTTGTTGGCCATCTCCGCTATCCAGACCATCTGCAGGTATGTCGAGGTTCAGTTGTTGAACCAGTGAATGATGTTTTCATATTGTGAAGCACCTGAAAATTATGTAGTTTGCGCTTGATGATTGTTGCAGATGGTCGTGAAGGACGTACGATGAGCAATGTGAAATACCAATTCCCCCAACATTGAAGGTGAATCATACAGGCAATGCTTGTGAAATTCAATGTATTTATTATGCTGTATGTATGGGAAACATAGAGCAATGACATGATAAACCAATAATTCTTGAGCTGCTTTTTTTTTTTTTTGTTAAAACCATCTGTCCTGGAATCATGTTTTATCCCCTGGCCATAAGATTGAGATTTTATATTATATATTAGTTTGATTGAGGAATTGTTTTTCAATTCTCTCAGCAGTGCTCACTGATCTGCAACTGTAATTGCATCCTCAAAACTCAAAACATGATGATTTGCGTTTGATTAGCTTGACAATATCTGAAACATGCATAAAACAACTCACCCGAGTTATTTTTTGCCAAAGCCAACTGTTCGAGTCAAGTTATTCCCTTGAAGGGTTTGATTATACAAATGGGTAGCTGAAGCTTTCGGTAACCTCGGCTTTTTTACCCTCAAATTGATATCTTTTTTTTTTGGAAAATAAATTCAAATTAGCACATGATTCTAATGTGATACTTAAATAATCAATTAAGTTGAAATATATGACATAACGGCGTCTGCATTTTTAACCGATCAACAACTTAATTGATTGTTCAAGTGCCCATTTGAAAGGGAGGGGGGTAATCCAATAGCATCCACTGTCTTGAGAGAGCCACAAATGACCAAAAATATCCTTGCCACTATATGGATGGATTTGATATTTACATATATGGTCCTATTTAAAATTCAACTTGATAATGAGGTAGGCGAATACAACTATGTGGCTTCTGCTGATGCTTTGCAAATAGGGCACCAATTCTTCATCCGTAGCCACTGTTGTATGCATGCAATGTGATACCTATGCTCACAGTGCAACCTCCCTACTTCATCTCCAATGACATACTCTTCCTACGGAGAAAAAAACCCAACGAATTCCATTAAGTTTAAGTGAAACCGGTCAAGAAACCGTTGCAGTCATATCCGGAGAAGAACATTAATAAAGTAGAAGGTTGAGTGGCAAAGGACCTGGCATATACTGCATTTGATATCATCTTTTTCTCCCTTAAAGCAGACAACTGCATCTTCCCAAGATGTTGCCTCAAAAATGCCTTTCTTAAGGCATTTTGACATTGCTTCTTCAGGTAGGGCAGTGCTCACAGTACCCATCCTTTCTTCTAGAGCTAGTAATTCCTGTCATGAATAGCAACAAAAGTTAATACTTTTAGTTTATCTTAACAAGCATAGCGTGGAGAAAATAAAATGCAGATTTGAACCCACATAGTGAAACAATGACAAACCTCATATGACATATTATCAATATCCAATCTCATGTCTCTATGCCGGTCATAAAAGTTTAAGCCATCAAGGAGCAAGCCGGTCTCCAGAACAAGTAATTGCTGCAGGACAGAAACAGAATCAACGATATAGAATAATCAGATAAGCTCAGGCACTTCAAAACTAGTTACCTCATATGTCAACTGTGCAACTTGTTCACTTCTCTCAAGTGCTGATAATACCTGGGTAAATACAAAGCAAAAGGAACAGATTATGCTCCAATAGCTTAATGATGCAACAAAAGGACAACTAATGTTTCATTCTGCCTCTCCCAAGAGAGATTCTATAACACCAGATGATTCAAGATATTAATGGGTAAATCCGTATTCAAACCTCACTCAGGCCCTTCCCTGAGTTCCATGGTAAAGAAGGCCGGGGGAGAGGAAATTTTGTAAATCCATGCATAAGAATTCCAGGTTGGAATATCCTGTTAGTATACCTCAGCAATGTCATCCATATTGAAGCGCTGGAATCTAGCCCAATTCACTGAAGAGCGGTATAGGCCAACTTCTGAAGGTATAGAAGGCATGACACTGCGTAAACTCTCACCCACACTACCCGGTCGATTGTAAGAACTAGCATAAGTTGAGGCAGTTTCTGTGGAAACAGGAGCATTCAAATCAAAATGTATATCAGATTCAGATGCTTGTGGGATGACTAAGGGTGACCCGTTTGAAGTTAAACTGTTCCCATTTGCTTGGTTAGGGAGTCTCCCTCTAGCATAACTACTGTTTAATCTCTGAGTCCTGACTGAAGAAGTAATACTACAATCCCTATTAGAAGACCAGTTTCTGGCTTGCCTTGAATCAGAAATAGAAACCCCAAGGCTAGAACTGTTGTTCAGTCCTTCCAAAGATGACCCACTCAACTTCTTCCCCCAGGTGGATGAACTACCCTCTCCTTCACAATTATTCCTTTTTACTGTATTTTTCCCTTTGCTGAGGCTTGAATCCGAAGATGAACAACCAGAAGAGACAACAGAAATAGAGTTACATCTTGGATTTCTCAAACCATACTTGCTTGTGTTACGTTGTGTTGCACGGAAAGCACTTCGAGATGCCAAAGTAAAAGATGGACTTGCCTGAGTATCCTGGTTGTCCAACCCAGAACTTTGAGTAAAGCTTCTCCCTTGTCTTGTGTTTGATGCTAGACTATAGCTTCCTACTTCCATCACGGTAACTTCCTCAACATCAACAGCTTCAGCTTGAGGCTGCAGCCCTCTTTGAATAATTCCTGGTGGGGATACGATCTCTAACACTTCCGTCTCTTCCTCAACACTACTAGTTTCAGATGAATCTATTTCCAGCTGAGATGGTAACTTTCTGATAAGATTTGTAGAGGATTTTCTAGTGTTGCCAACTGCAGGATATACACCAGAAGAACTTCCAATAATTTCCTTCTCACTAGATGAAGTGCAGCAAGAAGGATTAGGAGATTTGGCCTTTTCAGAGCAAAAATTGGGTGTTCCTTTCACAGTGTTCATCCTCCTACTGCATCCAATACGGCTGCAAAACCGTGCATTTTGCTCTTTGATATTAACCTGATCCTTCAGGACAAGCCTTGATCTCCTGCCAGGTACAAGCCCACTAATAGCTCTTTTACCAGTATATCCATCCATGTAGGTTAAAAGTATCTTTCTGGAAAAAATGTATCATATTAATGGCGTAGCCATGAAATAAATTTAGTTCAGGAGGCCAAAAAAAATTAACCGCAAGCATACATACTACCAGCAGAAACCACGAATTATGGTGGTAAGATAAAAACTGCTAAAGCAACACTAACATGCATAATAGATAAAACCCTAAACTTTGTACTTACCTTCTATCAATAAAAACTATGGAGTCTAAAGGAGAATTCACACACAGTAAGAAATGGCAAAGTCCAAGAAGAAAAATGCAGCTAAAAAACTAAATGGAAGAAATAAGATAGAAGAATACTTGAGAGCAGAGAGGAAAGAGGAAGAAAGATATAAAAGAAAGAAACACCTTTGTTATCAAAAGAATCAAAACATGTTCAAAGAGTGCAATAGCAGAGACTGGCCACACGCTCCAGTACTGAATTTGTTCCCAAGAAAAGCGGGTCTCTCTCTCTCTCTGGTTAAATTATTCAGCGCACAATCATTTTCATTTCTTCTTTTTTTTCTAAGAAAAAAGGAGACTTCGTCCGTGATTTGAGGGTGGAAAAAGCTTATCACACATCATAAAACGAAAATAAACTTGAAAAAAAAGTAGCAGACAAAAGGAAACCCTAAAAAGGAAAAGCAAATTGAAGATTTCCTCAAGACTTGGCCATGCCTTTCCCTTCCCAAGCTACCGCATGAAAAAAAAATCCTTGGAAAACAGAAAGATCAAGGCATCAAAATAATCAAGCTTTAAGGGATTTTGATTCTTTTTCTTCAAAATAAGCGGTCAGAAAAGAGAATTCATGGAGGGCAAAAAGAATAAAAAAGGGAATAAAATAAAGGGGCGATAAATATGAAGGGAAAATATACCTCTACGCTTCTCCGTATTGTCGTTTTGATTATTCGAATGTGCAAAGGGAGAGAAACCGAGATTTAAAGTCTTAAAGAAGATGGAGGCGAAGAATAAAATGGGGAAAAGATATTTCTCAAGCCTTACATCTTTGCTTCGATTATGTATCACATCTATTGTACGACACCAAATAGTATTTTATGATATATATTTTTTGCGAACGATATTATTTTAATTATTGAAATAAAAAATGAGCTGAATAGTAAATTGATTACCTGAAATATTATTTTGAAAGAAAAAGGTCTACGGATCAATATTAAAAAGACGGAATATTTATATTTAAACTTCAGTATGAACCAAAACGATGAAGATGAAGATGTAGAAGTATGCATATAATGACACATTCTCCCCTCAAATGATTTTTTCAAGTACCTATGGTTTATGATACATAAAGATGAGGGTATAGATGATGACGTTACACACCATATAAAGACGGAATGACTAAAGTGGAGGGCTGCTATTTGAGTTTTGTGTGACAATAATGTGCCTCTAAAACTTACGGAAAAATTTTATAAAATGACAATAAGACCAGCGTTGTTGTATGGATCAGAATGTTGGGCAATCAAGAAGGATCACGTAAAGAGAATGGAGGCCGTAGAAATGAGAATGCTTCGATGGGCATGTGATAGGACTCTGTGGGACATGACACCAAACTCTGCAATTAGTATGTCATTAGGGGTGGCGCATGTATCCGAAAAATTGAGGGAGAGAAAACTACAATGGTTTGTGCATGTCCTTAGGCGACAACCGTCGGATACGGTCAGGAGAGTAGAGTCGATTACAGTCGACGGTGCCAGAAAGAGAGGACGACCAAGGAGGAAGTGTGTATACTGCTTGATATCTAATTTGAAGGATTTAGCCCTTACCGAGAACATGAACTCTGATAGGAAAGTATAGAGACTTAAGACCAGGGTAGACGAGTAGTGTGGGTCACAACCATAGGGTGTAGCATCTCTGTTTTATTTTTAATGTCTTTGTAGTAATTTACATCCAGCTCAGTTGGTAGAGCACAAGGTTCTAAACCTTGAGGTCGTGGGATCAAGTCCCATGGAGGGCATTTCATAATTTGGAGGTCTCCTACGGAAGCTGCTCTCAACCTGGTGTTGGGGGCAGCCTACTATCTTACCTCCCCCTTACCCCCATACATATGGGAAAAAAGGGACAGCCATTTTTTTTTTTGTAGTAATTTACATGACTTCTATTTTTATACGTTTATGTCATTGAAATTTATGAAGACTTAGAACTATGGTAGCAGAGTAATGTTGTCTTAGTTTAGGTTTTAACCCATTTAATTATATTACTTCTCGTAGCTTGCTATCACTGACTTCTGTGTAGCATTCTCTTCATTTTCTTATTTTTAAATTTAGTCGGGTCTTACATTTATGTTTATATGCAGAGATTTTTACGCAATGATTTATTTGCAGGGATTTATTTGCAGGGATTACTTCCTATTCAGACGCACATACGAAGATTGTTCAACTATGTATTTATTTATTTATTTATACATGCATTGTATTTTATCTTTATTTTTAATTTTCTGAGTGCCGGAGGTCTTCCACGGAAGCTGCTCTCAACTTAACGTTGGGGCAGTCTACTACCCTACCTCCCCCTTACCCCATTATATATGCGAATAGAGTTTTGTTGTTGTTGTTGTTGTGTTGTCATTAAGATCTTCAACTCTTGAAATTAATATGTATAAAATTACGATATTAATCTTTATAGTTTTATTTTTTTAATTTTTTTAAAGTATATTTTTTAAAATATTTTGATGGATGAATTGGACTTCGAAAGGTGTGCATCTTGAAATGCGCCCTCTCACATAGCGTGCTTTATGATATACGTCTTCCATATATGTTACAAGTTTAACGAAGGCGTGGATGATAATTCGTACATTTTTTTATGTGACTCCAGTTTGGACAGAACCCCGCGAATACGAGAGGGTAATTTACCCTTTAGATTAGTAATATTATGTAAGAGTCTGAAAGGTATTTAATGGGTTTGAATGTGATATTTCGGTATAAACGCCTTAATTTGCCCTGGGAATGGAACATTTAAGTATTTTCCACGTGTTTGAAAGTGAAAGAAAGATCCAAACTGCCGCCGTTTCCAACTGCTTAATTTTACTTTCTATTTTATTAAAATTATATTTATTTACGGGTAAAATATTAAAGGGCAAACTATTTAAATGGTCACTTTTGGTCATTAAATTTAAAAAATATTTTAATCACTTAAATTATCGACTTATATTATTGAAAGTTAAATGTCATTAATTTGATGATGTATCACTCTAGTAAAAAAGATTTTTTTTCTATTTCACACCTGAAATTTAGATAATATATTAATTTAACTTGTGAATTCGACTAAAATCTCTCATCGTCATTCACTATTCACCATCATCACCGAAACATAATTCATTCTTGACCTCTTAACATAAATATGATATTCATTTTTTTATAAAAATGGTTTAAACTTCGTAATTATAACCTATAACTCTTATGTCTTTCTTTAATATTTTTTTAAAAATTAAATTTAAAGAGCTAAATCTCAATTTGTGATCACAAGCAACCTTAAATTTGTATTTCTCTCGAGATAAATAAAGTAATTTAATCTTTGACGATTTTGAAAGTGAACACTTGAGTAAGTAGCTGTCAATATTTATTTATTTTTCATTAATTTTTAATTGGTATAATTATAGATTTAGTTTCCCATATTTACACATTCTTTCATTTGATTCTAGTTTAAAAAACCAATAAAATTAACACTCAATATTTACATATTCTATCAAATATTAAGCTTCAAAAAGTCACGGGCCAACTTACAACACATAATCAAAGTCAGAGGTAAAATTGCTATTAAATTCAAAATCAATGGCCAAAAGTTAAATTAACCATTATTATTAATTCATTTCTCTTTTATTGTAATTCTTTATAACTCTTCTCAGTAAGCACAAATGTCACAATTATGAACTTAAGACTTGTGTTGTGAAGTATTTGAAGAGACTTCGTTATATGTCTTTTATATACATTGTTTTGCAAAAAAAAAAAAAAAGAAGTAAATTACGTGTTTAGTATCTAAACTATTAGTTCTAGTTTGTTTTAGTATCTAAACTTTTAATTTTTTTTAAAAACACACCTAAAGTTTTGTTTTTGTTTCATTTTAATATATCGTCGTTAAAAACTTTAACTTTTGTTTCATTTCAGTATCACGTTAAATTTAAAAAAACGAATGTTTGTGTAGTAAATGGGCCAAAACTGATAGTTTAGGTATCAAAGGTATTAAGTTTTTACAACGGGTACTAAACTAAAATGAAAGCTAAACATTAAGTATAATTTAAAAAATTAAAGTTTAGATTATAAATCGGACCAAAATTGATAATTGAAGTGTTAAATATGTAGTTTCCCCATTAAACTAACGTGTGTTCAATAAACATCATCAAAGCAAGCACCGTACGTAACCAATTAGGATACCATATCTGTCATTTTTGGGACGTCTCACGTACGCAAATTTAATATACCGTTAAAATAATTTTTTTATGGAAATATTATTATTTTTTTAAAATATTTTTAGTAAAGTGTTATTTAAAATAATATTTTTTATTAAAAATATTAATATTTGACGCTACCTAAAATGTTTAACATTTCCGGTAAAGCGTTACGTAAAATATTATTTTTTATACCGAAAATGTTAATATTGGGTTCTACCGAAAATTAATTAGCGAAATTAACATTTCTAGTAAAAAAATAATGTTTTAAATAGTATTTAACCATATATTAAGACTACCGTACGACATAAATACTCATTTTGATTGATGAGATTTGGTAAGAAAGAATGGTTAATACCCAACAATACCATTACTATTAGAGAAAATCGCCTCAGTGACCAAAAATGCCTTATAATATACGATTTTAACCAACTTTTTTTGGATTTGCCAAAATGACCAACAAAATCGCAACGCGAAATAAAAATCGCAACGCGATCCCCAGAATCGCAAATCAGTTTCCAAAATCGCAACGCGATTCTTGAAAATCGCAATGCGATAGTACAAATTCGCATTGCGATTTTCAAGAATCGCAACGCGAATATGAAAATCGCAACGCGAACACATAAATCGCAACGCGTATCCGTAAACCGCAACGTGTATCCGTAAATAGCAACGCGTATCCGTAAATCGCAATGCGTATCCGTATATCGCAACGCGTATCCGTAAATCGCAACGATAATCCGTAAATCGCAACGAGAATCTGTAAATCGCAACGATAATCCGTAAATCGCAACGAGAATCTGTAAATCACAACACTGAAATTTTGGGTATATAACTACGCAACAGCAGCAAATCATAAACTAAATCCCTAAATCGCAACTCATTCCATCTCCATCTATCACTCTCTCCGGCGACATCCGTTCCTATATCCAACGACATCCTTCCCAATCCGGTAACAGGTTTTAGTTTCACAGCTCGTCTGTTTAGTAAATTAATTTACAACCATGAAATCATCTAATGTTGATCATGTTTGGATAGATTTGTGTTTTGGAGGGTCATGGGATAATGTTCATGGTGTTTTACAATATATGCCTTTACCCATGAATCTTCAACTAAAATTGTCTTTACAAAAGTTAACTTATGAAACTCTAATGCTACGTGTTTCAAATAAATTGAATTTAGAGCCCCTAAGTGGATTTAGGCTATCTTATCAGAGAAATGGTAAAGTTTATTTGTTAACCGACAATGAAGATGTTGAACGATTCATTGCTTACATTAGTGTTTCACAAGATGATGTTACATTGTATGTTGTTGAACCTAGAAGTAGTATTGTTGGGTCAGTAGCGGGTAGTAATCAACTAAGTTTTTCTCAAAACCCACAACCTTTCTCTAATCCAAATCCCAATCAACTTTCAGCACCAAATTCCGGTTTTCGTATTGACCAGTTAGACGATGATGAGCCAACAGAAAAAATTGTGAGTACTAGTCAGTATTCGAAATTTGGTCTTGGTCAATATCCGGACTTTGATATTGGTCAATACACGGATTTTGATGATGTTTCAGAAGAAGAAACAGACCCTGCGTGTAATGATTTTGATATTGGTCAATACCCGAATTTTGATGATGAAACAGCCGTTGCCGAAGAATGTATTGTTGATGATAATGAGGAGGAAGTTACGACTGTGAATGAACATGTTGAACATCCATTCTGTAATTCATATAATCCTGAAGAAGAAAAAGAAGAAGAAAAAGTCCCCGAAGAAAAGAAAATGCCACGGGCGTATAACTGGAATATACCAAAATTACTTCAGATACCGGAAGAAGAGTTGGTAAAGAAAGCAGTTGATTGTTACACAAAAGTTATTCGTATCAAGAAAGATGATTGTTTTGATACAAAGGAAGACTTGAAGATAGCTTTGTATACGAAATGTGTGGAAGATGGCTATCAACTAAAAGTTAACAAATCAAGCAAAGATCGTTTCGAAACAAGGTGTATGATTGACAAAAACTGTACGTTGCGTATGATTGCAAAGAGAATAAAAGATTGCGAAATGTTTCAAGTTAGGACTTTTATTGATAAACATACATGTTCAAGAACCCAAGTTTTTCCTCACCATAGACAGGCAAACAAAAAGGTGTTGGGTGGTTTTCTGGCTGAGTTAATGTTTTTGAATGGCAGGGTATATCGGGGACATGAAATTATGACTGACATGAATGCTCGGTTCAAGATTAGTATATCATATTCTCAAGCTTGGAGAGCCAAATGTTATGCCTTGGAATTGTTGAGGGGTCGCCAGAAGCATTGTTTGCCCAACTGCCGGCTTATTGTCACAATTTAAAGCTGAAAAATCCTAGGTCGGTAACTCATATCAAAACAGATAGAGATGGACACTTTGAGTTGCTATTTATCGCCATTGGTGCTACGGTTAGTAAATCAATATAATTTTGTTGACTCATTTTTGTTAGTTACATGCATTTCACATTTAAATGATTATATTTCTTGTGTATATTATTTTGTAGATTCGTTCGTTTATTACTTGCATGCGCCCAGTTATTATAGTTGACGGAGCACATTTGAAAGGTCGATACCTTGGAGTAAACTTATTAGCAGTAGCCATGGATGCTAACAATGGGATATTGCCAATAGCTTACGGGGTTGGCAAATCTGAAACCTCTGATTCATGGACATGGTTTATGGGGCATATTAGGGATTGCATAGGTCCTATTAGCAATCTGACAATCATATCCGATAGGGCAAACTCAATTGACAACGCTGTTAGAAGGTGTTTCCCAGATGCTTTTCATGGACTTTGTGGTGTTCATTTGTATAGAAATCTAAAATCAAGTTCTGCTGGTATAAAAAAGCACAAATGGACATACTGGAAGGCTGTAAAAGCTTATCGGGAAGTGGATTTCAATAAGCATATAAATTGTTTAAGACGTGTTTTGCCTCAGTGTGCTCAAACACTAGAAGATGTCGGGTTTGAAAGATGGTCAAGAGTACATCAACTTGGAGCAAGATATGGTTTCATGACGTCTAATAGTGCAGAATCAATCAACGCTCTAAGTCGTCATTCCCGGAAATTACCCATTACTATGTTAATGGAGTTTTTTCGAGCCTCTATTCAACAGTGGTACTACAAGAAAAGAAACCATGCAGGTATTATTTCTTTGAATTCGTAACTTATCATATTTATATATTTTACTAAGTATTGTTTATTTAAATTTACAGGAACATTGGAACATCGTGTTACACCATGGACTGAAAAAAAGATAACGAAACGTGTTGTGAAGTCAACGTCATGGAGAGTTGAACCATGTTCAAACACTTTGTTTCAAGTACTGGATAATAACTTAAATGGGCTAGTCGATCTAAATGCAAAGACGTGTAGTTGTATGAAATGGCAAACATCTGGTTATCCGTGTGGCCATGTTATAAAAGTTGCTCTTCATTTAAACCAAGATGATTCAAGCGCATACGCTATGGATTGCTACACTACAGAAGTTTATCGACAGACTTATGCCGAGATTGTCTACCCTATTCCACATCCTTCTGAGTGGGACATACCAGATGACTTACAAACAGTTTTGCCACCAGCCATGGACAGAAGGCTACCTGGCCGACCAAAAAGTCACGATCGTATACCGTCTAAGTGTGAAGAGAAGAAGAGATCGACATGTAGTCGGTGCAAGGAAAGTGGTCATACAAGGTTGACATGTGGATCACCAGTGCCATCAAAATCATCTTTTCCTCTACCAAAATATGGATCCTCATCAAAATCCAAAGCTCATATGGTGTCAAGCAAAAGGCAATCATCTTTAAAATCCCAATCACAATTGGCTTCACCTTTTGGGACTGTTAACTTAGGTGATTTTTAAATGCAAACGTTGTATTATGTGGATTTTATGTGTGAACTTTTAACATTTTCAGTTGAATTAATGACTCAGGCCAACCATTTTGACTTAACCAACTCTTGTTATTCAGTTGTTATCACTTATTAGGCATGCATTTGACTATCGCAACACGGAAATTACAATCGCAACGAGAGAATCGCAATGCGAAATGAAAATCCCAACAAGAAAATCGCAATGCGGAAATGAAAATCGCAATGCGAAATGAAAATCGCAATGCGAAATGAAAATCGCAACGAGAGAATCGCAATGCGGAAATGAAAATCGCAATGTGAAATGAAAATCGCAACGAGAGAATCGCAATGCGAAATGAAAATCGCAACGAGAGAATCGCAATGCGGAAATGAAAATCGCAATGCGAAATGAAAATCGCATTGCGATTCTCTCGTTGCGATTTTCATTTCCGCATTGCGATTTTCATTTCGCATTGCGATTCTCTCGTTGCGATTTTCATTTCGCATTGCGATTTTCATTTCAACATAATGCAGATTGAAATCAACAAAATCAACCATTACATTTCAATCAATTAAACAAGCACAAATAAGAATTATGTTCGCATCAATTACACAAATCAACTTTTACAAATCATCTTTTACAAATCAATTAAACAATCAAAAAATAAGCAATAATTCTTATTTCCAATCATCTACTATTGAATCAACTTTTACAAATCAATTAAACAATCAAAAAACAATCAATTAAACTATTGAATCAACTTTTGCAGCCATACATTATTTTCACGCAGTTCACTTATGAGATTAACCTGCAGAAACCAAACATTTGCTCAAACAACACTTTCTACACATCTAAAACCTACAAACAGCAAATTATTCTATTCTAGGTACTTAACCAAACATTTTCAAACCAAAAGTCTATAAACTTACCAATTGTTTATGGACATTTTTATAACGCGGATGCAGGTAGGCATCGTCTCGTATATATCGATTTAGCCATATAATGCCGAAACCACAAGCCTACTGCAGCTCTATCTTTATCGGTGGGAGGTAGATACTTGGTGTTTCCCGTCGTCAAACGCTCCAACGCCAAGCATACGAGAGGACCACAATCTCCTCTGGCTCCTCCCGTTTGTTGTGGCGCGGTCTCGTCTCTAATAACTGTAATATTGAGCTTCTTTGGCTTCTTGTTTCCAGAACGAGTCCAATAATTGATCGCATCCAAGAATTTAGCCAAATGAGAGCTCCATCCCTTAATAATATCTCTTAAATCAGCCAATGATATGTAATTTATCATGCTGTCATACACTATTGTCTTCAGGGATGGGAGCTTAAGCTCGACTAATCCAATGTTTACGTTCCAAAACAGGGATAAACACCTGCAATCATAAGTAATAATTCATTCATTTGCGCACTTATTTCATAAAACCTTTAAACTCAATCTAAAATAAATACTAACCTTATCGACCTCCCACCATGCAGGATAAAGTTTAGCTTGTCCATTGCCCAAATCAAATGATTCATCTCGTGCATTCTTCAAGTGAACGGCGTTAAAAGACGTCGGCATAATTGTATATCGTATATTTTTATTTTTCTTAAGTTTTCTTATTATTAGAAGACGTGTCACCCACGCATCGATATGCTGTTTTACAAAAAAAGACATATATTAGTGACTTACATAAATTTAAAAAAAAAATAATCAAATTGAAATATAAGAAAAATATAAGACTTACCCCCCCATCGAAATAGCCATTGTCTTCGACCCCTAATAATACGCCCACCAAGACCGATCAAGCAACAAATAGATATCATCGGTGAGCTTGCATATGTCAGTGAAACACCCCTGGCTCCGCTCATGTAGATAAAAATCAACTGCGGTCTTAGCCCAAAGGGTGTTATCCATAATTGTGTCCGGTAGTTGTTTCCTCTCCTCTTCAGATACCGGTATGGTACTGGCCGGTAACTCATACGAGAGCCAACTTGAATCCATCATGTCTGGCACGTCAGAGGGTTTCTCAAGAAGCCTACATATGACGCCATGTGAATCGGGCTCTTGAATGGTGGGAGGGACCTCTTCAATGATGACAGTGGCCTCTTGAACGGTGGGAGGGGACTCTCGAGGAATGATAGGGGGGCATCTTCAACGATAGGAGTGGACTCTTGAGGGATGACAGGCGAGTCGGGATTCTTCTTGCGGTGTCTTCGCACTATTGGGGTGTACGGAGACTTAATAGCACGTGCACGCTGTCTGATGCGTGAACTCCGTCGTGCAAGCATAACCCGACGTAAAGCATCCACTCTATCGGGCCGCTAAATAATTAAATACAAAAATCAGTAAATAAACAGACATGATATTTAAACAGTGAAAACAAAGACAAATATGTTTCAAACTTGCATTATATTCACCCAAGTCATTATTCTATCATAGTTCACAAAATGCATCAGATAACAAAGAAAAATATGTTTCAAACTAATACCCTGAAGTTAGTATTTGTCTTTGTTTTGTCTATTGGTTGAAGTAATGCAATCCATTCAAGTTTCAATTTGCAGAAGAAGAATAGTTTACTTTCGCAACACGAAACTTAAAATCGCAACGCGAAATGAGAATCGCAACGAGAAACCAAAATCACAACGCGAAACCAAAATCGCAACGCTAAATGAAAATCGCAACGACAGAATCGCAATGCGAAATGAAAATCGCAACAAGAGAATCGCAATGCGATTTTGGTTTAGCGTTGCGATTTTGTCGTTGCGATTTTGGTTTCGCGTTGCGATTCTGTCGTTGCGATTTTCATTTCGCGTTGCGATTCTCTCGTTGCGATTTTAAGTTTCGTGTTGCGAAAGTAAACTATTTCTTCTTCTGCAAATTGAAACTTGAATGGATTGCATTACTTCAACCAATAGACAAAACAAAGACAAATACTGACTTCAGGGTATTAGTTTAGCAGAATTGGCAGCAACCGAACAAATTTACTTTTAACCAAAAGACAAAACAAAGACAAATACTATTTCACAGTGTTAAAGAATACACAGTTTAGCAGATTTGGCAGCAACCGAACAAATTTACTTTCAACCAAAAGACAAAACAAAGACAAATACTATTTCACAGTGTTAAAGAATACACAGTTTAGCAGAATTGGCAGCAACCGAACAAATTTACTTTCAACCAAAAGACAAAACAAAGACATACTATTTCACAGTGTTAAAGAATACACAGTTTAGCAGAATTGGCAGCAACCGAATAAATTTACTAAGCAATCTAAGTGAAATGGCTAATCTAAGTGAAATTACGAGTAAATTTATCATTAAGTTAAATATGGAAAATCTTAAACTTACCTCGTTGCGTAGAGTATGAACCTCATTCTGCAACGATACTATCATCTCACGTAGAGCGGCAACCTCACCATGTAAAGTTGACACCTCCACACGCCATGCACCATCGTTATCGCGTAGAGTACCGATCTCCTCACTCAATGCATTGACCTCATCACGTAACTCATCCCGTGGAGGTGGAGAACAAGGAGATAAATGTCGTGGCCTCTTTACCGGTCGCCTATCATGAGGTGATGGTGGAGAAGAGGCTCGATGATGTGACGGGATAGGTGATGGCTCTCGTTCTAGAGGTGTATAGTCGGGTCGATCGGGTGATGGCTCTGGGTGAGGTGATGGCTCTCGAATTGAAGGAAGTGGATGCTGCTCATCATCCGTGCCATCAAAAAAACTCTGACTAGCTTGCCACCAATCAGTGGCAAGCTCTTCCTCCGTGGGTGTCAGTCTTTGTAATGGAATGTTGGCCTCCTAACAATATAAAAACTCAAACAAAGTTAAACGTCTACTATTAATAACTTGTTTATATATTATATGAAAGTATTTGTGTTAACTTACATTATTTATTGTCGCATATGGTATTAAGTCTTCCCAATCCAACAGATTTTTCCTCTTCCAGGAAATAGCCCTGGGAATATCATTTGACGTTTTTATTGCATATGTACGCATGCTGGGGAAAGCCTCGAATATCCAAATCTACAAACAATATAATAACAAAATTAGTAATTGTTAAATAATTAATTATAATTTTAGAAACATTATATAGAAATTCTTACCTTAAAGGCCCAAACAAAGCCTGACAAAGTGTATTTCGACCCATCGCCACGCAAACTTTTGCGGTCATCAAAGGCAGTAGACAACTTAGTCCAGGTAGCTTTCCATATATACGAACCCCACGGAAACAGATTCCATGCATTCAGGTCCTCTACCAATATTATTAGCTCCCGAGGAATAGGTTGTCTGGCCTCTCTGCCTAAAAAGCCGGCATACACAAGTTGTAGAAGGCATACTCGGACAACATCGACGTCATCCATCCGAGTGAAACCAGCTTTCTTATTAAACAATTTCTTCAGATCGTCGACGTGTAGGTTCGGCTTCTCCATTGACTCATCCGGAAAAACCCGGGATAACCATGATGGGCGGGCGATATGACGAGTGTACCGGCCTACATCATCGTGTCCGAATCGTAGACCAGTGATTAAGCAGAACTCCTTCCGCCCAAAACAAGTATACGCTGGTGGAAAATGAAACCATATCTCTTCCTCACCACGTTGTATACTGTCGGGTAGATTTGATGTCATGGTCTGAAGCCACAAATGGGTCAAATTAGCATCTCCACCCGGATGCTGTACTCTCAGCCATGGCCCGAAGCAGGTTTCCTCAAACAATTGTCTTTGTCCAGGTGAAAGCTTCGAAGCAATTGTAGTGGCTAGGCTAACTTTATTCCTTAATGTCAATGAAGCCGAAAAAAATTTCTACAAAAACAATAAACATACCAAGTTAGATATACCAAAAACTACACTGTGAAGATATACCAAAAACAATAAACATAAAAAGTAGTAGTTTATTCTTGAAACTAAAATTTGCAACACTGTTTTGTCTTTTGGTTGAAATGAAAATCGCAACTAGAGAATGACTGTCGCAACGAGAGAAATGAAAATCGCAACGCGAAATGAAAATCGCAACGAGAGAATCGCAACGCGAAATGAAAATCGCAATGCGATTTTGGTTTCGCGTTGCGATTCTCTCGTTGCGATTTTCATTTTTCTCGTTGCAGATAGTCATTTTCACGTTGCGATTTTCATTTATCTCGTTGCGACTCTTCTGCAAATTGAAACTTGAATGGATTGCATTACTTCAACCAAAAGACAGAACAAAGACAAAGACAAATACTAACTTGAAAATCGCAACGAGAGAATATCAACGCGAAATGAAAATCGCAACGAGAGAATCGTAACGCGAAATGAAATCTAAGTGAAATGGTTAATCTATTATTGAAATGACCAGTAAACTTATCATCAGTTTCAATATGAAAAACCTACAATAATGCAAAAAATTCAAAATAAAAATAATTAAAAAAACTAACACTCGGAGGTTGATTTTCCATTTCTGAATATTGTGAGGGATTTCTGACCGTGAATGGTTGTGAGGGATTTCGCCGGAGATGGGGACGAAAATCTTCGGAGATGGGGACGGATTTCGCCGTAGAGAGTGAGAGATGGAGATGGGACTGAGTTGTGATTTTAGGTTTTAGGTTATGAGTTGCGATTACGGGATTTTGTCTTAATATTCGTTTTTGTAATTTGAAAATAAAATACGCGTAGCGATTATAATGGCGCTTTAAAAATCGCATTGCGATTTACGGATACGCGTTGCGATTTTACGTATTGTCGTTGCGATTTACGGATACGCGTTGCGATATACGGATACGCATTGCGATTTACGGATACGCGTTGCGATTTACGGATACACGTTGCGATTTACGGATACGCGTTGCGATTTATGTGTTCGCGTTGCGATTTTCATATTCGCGTTGCGATTCTGGAAAATCGCAATGCGAATTTGTACTATCGCATTGCGATTGTCAAGAATCGCGTTGCGATTTTGGAAACTGATTTGCGATTCTGGGGATCGCGTTGCGATTTTTATTTCGCGTTGCGATTTTGTTGGTCATTTTGGCAAATCCAAAAAAAGTTGGTTAAAATCGTATATTATAAGACATTTTTGGTCACTGAGGCGATTTTCTCTTACTATTATTATTATTATTATTATTATTATTATTATTATTATTATTATTATTATTATTAAGATAATAAAAATAATAGAGAAAATAAAGATGAATGATAGACATTCATTATTTTATTATTATTATTCATTGATTTAACATGTTTTAAATTGAGCAGCACTTGTATATAGCAATGGAGGTGGGTGGCTTCAACAAATGTACCTAAAATGAGCCGAGCCAATAGGGGTACGGCCAAGGAAATTTGGTTGAAAAGGTCAAAAAGAATTCCCCAATTTTGTGGGATGATTTTAATGCCCTGTATTCATGTATGTACGGACGTACACCATTGAGTTGTCCGACATTGTCGCTCCTTTGTATTTTGATACCCCTTTTATCAAACAAATAAAACAAACCAATTTATCCTTTATCCACCTCCTTGTTTTTCCTTTTTCTTCTTCATATACGACAACTCTTCTTTGTGTCAAATCATTTCAATCATTTGGTCCCTAAATTTTGGTCTCATTTGTCCCGTCTCGTTTACATGGCAACCGCAAGCAAAGAAGCGAGCGCATCGGTGAAAGGGAAGAGCGGAACTTCACCTACAAATTCGAAGCCTTCTCCGAGAAAGCCCGCCTCTTCCTCTACACCTTCCGGTTCCACTGAAAAACAATTGCCAAACTATCTCAAGCCAACGAGAAGTTCACGCACTGATGCTGCTGCTGCTGCCAAGGCTACAAAGAAACCTGCGACCGAAGACCCCTCCCAAAGCCCCAGTGTTATCAGGAGAAGGTCACTTGATAGGCCTCCGTCGGCTGCTCGAGCTCAGAAGGAACTTGAATCTCCAGTTCGTCCTAAAACGGCAACAGCAGCAACATCCTCGTCTCGTTCTTTGACTTCGAAACCTGGTGCTGCACCCAAGGCGCCCTTGGAGAGGGTTGCCAAAAAGCCAAATGCTCCGACGAAATCACAGGCATCGACGGTGTCTTCGTCTAGGAGCTCGCACAAGTCTCCTACTACTACTAGTGCTACTAGCACTAAGACTAGGAGGGGACGATCGACTCCTCCTTCGGCTTCAAAGAAACCTCCTAGCAGTCCTGATAGAAAGGAAGCCCAGACTGTTGAAACCGAGCGTGAAAATAAAGAAAATTTGGGTCATCAAGTTGAGCCCGAGCCTGAGACTGAGGAGGTTGTGAAAGATGAACAAGGTGAAGTGGATGATACAGAAACACCAAAAACTGATCAGGGTGAAGCAAATGGCACCAGAACACCAAAATCTGATAGGGGTGAAGCGGATGATGCGAGAACACCAAAATCTGATAGGAGTCAAGCGGATGATGCGAGAACACCAAAATCTGATGGGGGTGAAGCGGATGATGCGAGAACACCAAAATCTGATGGGGGTGAAGCGGATGATGCTAGAACACCAAACGCTGGTCAAGATGAATTGAATGATGCCATAGCACCAAATGCTGATCAAGGTGGAGCGTATGATGCCATAGCACCAAACGCTGATCAAGGTGAAGCGGATGGTGCCAATCTACCAAAAGCTGAAGAGAGTGGAACCGCGAAAGCCAAGGTCGTCGTGGAAGACGAAGATTCTACTCAAGTCACAAGTGTTGTTGATAGAGGAGGACAAGATACCGATGATATTTCTAGTGCAATTTCGGAACAACAAAACGGAAGTAATATTTCTAGTGCAGTTTCGGAACAACGAAATGAAGGAGATATTTCTAGTGCAGTTTCGAAACAACAAAATGAACCTGATATTTCCAGTGCAGTGTCGGAACAACAAAAAGAACTCGATGGTTCTAGTGCAGCTTCGGAACGACGAAATGAACATGAGCCTATGCCTGACCCTGAACCTGAGCCTCATACTGAAACAGTGAAAGATAAGGTTGAGGAAGTAAAATCTGATCATATTCGGCAGCATAATGGTGGAGATAAGGAGAATCTAATCCAAGAGGAAATCATTGATGGTGATAACCCCCAACAGGAAAAGGCTCATCGTAAGGATAGAGAGGCGACAACTGAAACCGAACATGGGGTAGAGCATGATGTAACCGAAGAGGTGGGTTCCACTAAAGAAATCGAAGAAAAAGAAGAACCTAGGCAGGAGGAGGACAATGAAGTCAGCCTGCAGCAGAGGCTTGAATTCAGTATAGAAGAAACGGTTCAAGAATTAGATGCAAAGCAAAAGGCAGAGCCTGAGGCAGAAACAAAGACAGAGGTAAAGGCGGAAGCAAAGACAGAGGTAAAGGCGGAAGCAAAGACAGTGGTAAAGGCAGAGCCAAAGACAGAGGTAAAGGAAAAGGCAGACACAGAGGCAGAGACGGTGATAATGGAAAAACAAAAGACAGAGGTAAAGGCAGAAGCCAAGGCAGTGGTAAAGGAAGTGCCAAAAACAGAGTTAAAGGCGGAAGCCAAGACAGTGGTAAAGGCAGAGCCAAAAACAGAGGTAAAGGCAGAACCAAAGACAGAGGCAAAGACAGTGGTAAAGGCAGAGGCAGACACAGTGGGAAAGACAGTAGTAAAGGTTAAGCCAAAGAAGGCAAATATTATCGTCAAGAGCCAAGTACAAGGAACGAAGGTATCTGCAACACCGTACAATAATGTGATCGAAGAAACAGCCACTAAGCTAGTACAACAGAGGAGGAACAAAGTTCTCGCACTGGCTGGGGCATTTCAAAATGTCATAGATAAAGAAACTTCTAAAGCCAGATCAACATGATTTTCCTCCAAAATGGGTAGTGATATAAATGATCAAACCATTTCCTGAGATTCATTCAACTGCGATCAACACTTCGTACACAACTCAATGATGTTTATTTTCTTTAAAATTTTCTTCCAACTTTCCGTTATTCTTGCATGCAACTCAATGCAGCAAGGATTTGAAAGAATTTAATGTAATAGATTATCCAAAGGGCTAGAATTAATTACTCAATGTGGAAAATGGTAATGACCCAAAACTTGCCAAAGCTTATCCACAGTGGGGAACAAATCAGCAAGTAATAAACACGAAACACTCTTATTTACATGAGTTATGGCGATCTCAGCTTTGTTAAAAAAAAAGTAGAAGACAATAAAGGCATCAAAACATCGCTAAACTTCTATGAACTTATTGTTTTTGTTTCAAGACCACTGGTACAGGTGTCACAAGGTTATATAATTGTTCAGCAGTAAAAACACCAACTGCCCTAGACCCATGCGTGGTGCCATTCAAGTTGCTATGTTTTACAACAATAACCATTTTATACTTCTTTTCCAAAACTAGATCGACTACGTGACCAATAGTTGTTGTCGTTGTAACACAAGGAGGTGGACTTCTCATCATTGTTGAAAGTGGGGCATTCATCTGCACAGGATCAACAGAAGTTTCAGATGAATTATCGCCAATTATAAATTTCATACAGTTCATCAATCATCACCCCAACACAAGTACTAAACAGAAATACGGTTCATAAATTATTATATCAAGCAGGACAATGCAGCAAGATGAATAATCGAACAAAATCAAGGAAGTCGTGAAATGGGGTTATAAACCAATCATGTTTATATTAGCTAGCAACAAGGGTGTTAGTAACTCGCAACAATTTTCACGGTAGTCATCTATACGGTAGTCATCTATAATAGGAACAAGTGTCTCTCTATATAAGCGCATTACTACCCTCTTCAACTCCAAAGTGCCGGGTAGAGGCCTAGCTGTTTCAAATGGCATCATGATGCTCTCAATAGGATCACCTGGCAACACCTGAATATTGGAAATCTTGGTAATTCAACCAAAAACTTTACAGTTTATCAGGACTTGGCACATTGAAACTGCTAGTTGCAGGCACCATCTAATTAGCTCCACCAAGCCAATGGACTGGAAAAGACCATGTACCTGAGGAAGTAAGTAAGGACTGAGCATAGATTTGGTAAATCCCAGAAGAGCCTCTAGACGCAAAGCCACCTGAAATAGCAGAAGTAGATTGAAGGAGGTGAACATGTTTTAACTAAACAGCATACTAACATCTTTTAAAAAAAGGGGGGGAATCATTTCAAGGCAAAGGATATTTTTTCCAAAAGAATTTCAAATATTTGAGAAATTTTGACAGGTAATATCAAACTAAATTAGGTGCAATCCAGATTATTCCCATCAAACTAAATAAACAGGAGCATGGGGAATACCAGAATTATTGGATCAATAGAAACTAGGGTATTTCAGCACATTTTCAACAAGGGCAACATACTGTCATCCATTTCAAATATCTTATATATTCAATAGGTCAGATATTGTATCTCTTGTTTTCCTTAGTGTATAAGAATGAATTCCGTACCATGCCTCCACGACTGGTCCATGATATACACTTCCATCTGTTAATAATTTTTGAAAGATTCTCCAAAACTGCATCAATCTGATAGAAAAGGGAAAATATTATAACTCAAAATTTCCAAGCACGAGAATTCCCTTTAGTCTTTATATGGGACAACCTAGAGGTGGAGAAACAAAATCAATGAAAGTCATGCACTGAAGTTGGAAGAGAGACATAGTCTTACCACATCAGTTCATGCGGTACAAGCAGATGAGACAATTACTCCTAATTAGTTTGTGAGCTATGCATCAGAAAATGCAATGCCAACTATCATGTGTAGATGGACCGAGTACCTGTCCATTATTTAAAGCAGACTCCATAAGAAGATGATCAGCTTCTTGTTGAACAGCCAGGGAGATGGTTCCAGCGGAATCTGGCCACAAGCGCTTATGCAGATTTTTAACCATAATGTAATCCCCTCGACCGGCAAAAGCACGCATCATGGAGATATAAAGGTGAGGCTTTGGCCTCAAGCCCTCATTTGCACCAGCCCGCTTTAATATTTCTCCAAATATGCAAAGAGCATCTAGGTTTTTGTATATATAAATAAAAATCAGTATACGGATATTTAAATTTGCCTTCGAGTTACATCCAATTCGGATAAACTTTATACATGTACCATGTAAATGTAATCAGCAAGTGAACTGATATAGGATGTAAAATTTTAGGTCGGGTCCCATTCACAATAAGATACAATCATGACCCTTGCACATTCTGAAACAATATCAAGAACATACCCTTGATTGAACTACAATTTAGCATGGCATCAACCATTGAAGTAAATGCAGTACGATCAATGAACAAATCATGACGAGATTTCATCTCCAACACAATCTTCTGAACTGAATGAAGATCCTTAGCTTGCCCAAAACCCTGCACAGATATAAAGTAAAAGGCTAAATTTTTTCATAAATTTATTGGTCATAAAAGAGCAATATACATATTTCAAGTGCATTCACTACAAAACAACGAAGATCTCAGAAATACAAAAGGGATTACCGAATAAGATTTAGAGTATTAACTGCTTTCGTCAATATCATAGTGAATGTTGCAATATAAAAGGTTCTCATATTTAAAGAAACCTTCTACATTTAAAAGTTTGAAAGGTAAAGTGCTCATTTATTTAATTGTTTAAACATAAATAAACTCAATACTAACTTGCCTTCAACAGTGTGGTGTAAGTAACAACATCCGGATAAAGATCTGAATGGCAAAACCGCTGTGCTTTATCCTGGAAAAAATGCAAGTATAAATATTTAGGTCAACCAGAAAATTCCTTTGATTATTCTTTTTACTTGCATGTGGGAGGCTCTAAGCTAGCCTTTCAAATAAGGACTCAAGCTGCCCTCCATTACTTTTCATTACTATTCAATACAAGTTTAATCCCTCGCCATAAGTATGACTTACACAATTCATGAATAGATCCTACACCTATGAAGGACACTAACTAGTGCAATGAAAAGTAATGGACAAGAAAATAATGGACCAAATTCAACCCACAAATAAGTGTTTGACCTTCATTTCCTTAAAAAATCATATTGCAGCATCTAAACTTTCTGCCTTGACACGTGCAAAGATCAGAGTATTGTATGTCAGTCTATCAGGCTTCAGCCCAAGATGTAGTATTTCTTCCTGCAGGTTTATTGCAGCCTGTAGAGACCCTTTGCTTATGTATCCCTGGGAGTTTTAGAGGAGAGGGAAAGAAAGAAAACATAGATTAATCTTCAATAATAGATATTTTAACCAGCAAGCAAAGCACCATAAGTAAACTTTTGAGGAAAACTTAATCCCGTAAATTAGTCTCTTTGCAGTTCTATAGGCCAGATAGAAACCTTCATTAGCAAATTGAAGTCAATATTGAAGGACTTCCTCCTTCACGAAGACGAAAACCACAGCGGGCAAGAAGACCATTAGCACGGCGAAGGTCTCCTGCACTAAAGTAGATTATGTATAACATTATCAGTAATGCCGAAGTTATTCCTTACAAGGATATACTTAAAAACAGGAAAAAGGTAGCCTTCTAAAGTCTTTGGCAAACGATGTCGAACTGGAGAAGAAGAAGAAGAAGAAAAAGATGACGAAGACGATAAAATATTGTGATGGTGGAAAGGTTTAGAATTTGATGGTAAAGGCAGGAACGCGTGGAGTTGAGGCATTGTTTGGCAGCTGGGAGAGCGCTGCAATGCATCAGCCAGTGGTGGCCATGCAAATTGCTAATGATTCGCAAACAGGCAGAGAAGACAGGAAGAGTAAAGAGATCTATAGCAGAAACTCTTTAAATTAAGAGAAAATAACCTCAGTGACCAAAAATCTCATATAATATACGATTTTAACCAATTTTTTTCGGATTTGTCAAAATGACCAACAAAATCGCAATACGATCGCTAATTCGCAACGCGATCTCCATTATCGCAAATCAGTTTCCAGATTCGCAATGCGATTATGACTATCGCAATGCAATTTTCCAATTTCGCGTTGCGATTTTCCCAATTCGCAATGCGAATAAGTAAATCGCAATACAAATTTGGAAAATCGCAACGCGGTACTGACTATCGCAACGCGATAATACAAAATCGCAACGCGATACTGACTTTCGCAACTCGATACTTAATTTCGCAACTCAATACTGACTTTCGCAACGAGATAATACATAATCGCAATGCGATTTTCAAAGCGCCATTAGTATCGCAAAGCGTATTTTATTTTCAAATTTCAAACACGAATATTAATATATTGGAACACTGAACCGTCCACAGTATATCCTGTAATCGCAACTCATAACCTAAAATCTAAAATCACAACTCAGTCACATCTCCATCTCTCACTCTCTCACCCATCTCCGACGAAATTCGTCCCCATCTCCGGCAAAATCCATCTATCTCCATCTCTCAGAGGCACCCTCACAATCAGAAATGGAAAATCAACCAAATCAACCACCGATGGTTAGTTTTTTTAATTATTTTCTTTTTGAAATTTTTGCATTATTATTAGGTTTTTCATATTGAAATTGATGATAAGTTTACTGGTAATTTCAATAATAGATTAACCATTTCACTTAGATTGCTTATTAAATCAACCGAGAATCGCAACGCGAAATGAAAATCGCAACGACAAAATCGCAACGCGATTTTATTCTCTCGTTGCGATAGTCAAATTCGCGTTGCGATTGTCATTTTCGTGTTGCGATTTTCATTTTCAGAAACTATTCTTCTTCTGTAAATTGGAACTTGAATGAATTGCATTACTTCAACCAAAAAACAAAGACAAATAAGAAATTCACAGTGTTGCAAATTTAAGTTTGAAGAATAAACTACTACTCTTTATGTTTATTATTGTTTTTGGTATATCTTCACAGTGTAGTTTTTGGTATATCTAACTTAGTATGTTTATTGTTTTTGTAGAACTTTTATTCAGCTCAATTGACCTTAAGAAATAAAGTCAGCCTGGCCAAAACAATTGCATCGAAGCTTTCACCTGCACAAAGAAAAATGTTTGAGGATACTTGCTTCGGGCCATGGCTGAAAGTACAACATCCCGGTGGAGATGCGATGTTGACACACCTATTTCTTCAAAACATGACTAGGGATCTACCATATACTATACAACGTCGTGATGAAGATATATGATTTAATTTTCCACCGACGTATACGTGTTTTGGGCGGGAGGAGTTTTGCTTAATCACCGGTCTACGCTTCGGACACGATGATGTAGGTCGGTACACTAGACACATTACCCGCCCATCATGGTTATCCCGGGTTTTTCCTGAGCTGGAGAGGCCGAATCTACACGTGGAAGACCTGACGATATTATTGAATAAGAAAAATGGTTTTACTCGGATGGATGACGTCGATGTTGTCCGAGTATGCCTTCTAATACTTTTGCATGCCGGCTTTTTAGGCAGAGAGGCCAGACAACCTATTCCGAATGATCTAATCAAATTGGTAGAAGACCTAAATGCGTGGAACCTGTTTCCATGGGGCTCGTATTTATGGAAAGCTACATGGAATAAGTTATCGTCTGCCTTGGATGATCGAAAAAGTTTGCATGGCGATGGTTCCAAATACACTTTGACATGCTTTATTTGGGCCTTTAAGGTAAGAATTTTTATATAATGTTTCCAAAATTATAAGTAATTATTTAACAATTACTAATGTTTGTTATTATATTGTTTGTAGATTTGGATATTTGAGGCCTTTCCCGCTACGAAGACATAGGCAATAAAAACTTCAAATGATATTCCCAGGGCTATTTCCTGGAAGAGGAAACGGACCTTGCAATGGGAAGATTTACTACGGTATACGACAATAAATAATGTAAGTTAACATAAATACTACCATATGTTTATAAACAAGTTATTACTAGTACACATTTAACTTTGTTTGAGCTTTTATATTGTTAGGATGCCAACACTCCATTACAGAGGCTGACACCCACGGAAGCTGAGCTTGCCACTGATTGGTGGCAAGCTAGTAAGCGTTTTTTTGATGGCACGGATGATGAGCAGCCTCCACTTCGGGAGCCATCACCTCACCCAGAGCTATCACCTCACCCAGAGCCATCACCTGATCGACCCGACTATACACCTCCACAACGACAGCCATCACCTATTCGATCACATCATCGAGCCTTTTCTCTACCATCACCGTAAGATAGGCGACCGACAAAGATGCCACGACGTTTATCTCCCTGTTCTCCACCTCCACGGGATGAGTTAGGAGAGTTATGTGATGAGGTCAATGCCTTGCGTGAGGAGGTCGGTACTTTACGCAAAGACGATGGTGCATGGCGTGTTGAGGTGTCTACTTTACGCGGTGAGGTAGCCGCTCTACGTGAGATGGTAGCATCGTTGCAGAATGAGGTTCATACTCTACGCAACGAGGTAAGTTTAAGATTTTTCATATTTAACTTAATGATAAATTTACTCGTAATTTCACTTAGATTAACCATTTCACTTAGATTGCTTAATAAATTCATTCGGTTGCTGCCAATACTGCTAAACTGTTTTTGTTAGTATTTGTTTTTGGTTTTGTTTTTGTCTTTTGGTTAAAGTAATGCAATCCATTCAAGTTTCAATTTGCAGAAGAAGAATAGTTTACTTTCGCAACACGAAAATGACTATCGCAACGCTGAAATGGCTATCGCAATACGAAATGAAAATCGCAACGACAAAATCGCAATGCGAAATGAAAATCGCAACGACAAAATCGCAACGCGAAATGAAAATCGCAATGCGATTTGTGTTTCGCGTTACGATTTTGTCGTTACGATTTTCATTTCGCATTGCGATTTTGTTGTTGCGATTTTCATTTCACATTGCGATAGCCATTTCCGCGTTGCGATAGTCATTTCCGCGTTGCGATAGTCATTTTCGCGTTGCGAAAGTAAGTTTCGTGTTGCGAAAGTAAACTATTCTTCTTCTTGAATGTTTATATATGTTGTCCTTTTAAATATTTATATAAGTGCTTACTTCTGGAATGTTATCTGATGCATTTTGTGAACTATGATAGAATAATGACTTGGGTGAATACAATGCAAGTTTGAAACATATTTGTCTTTGTTTAATATCATGTCTGTTTATTTACTGATTTATGTATTAATTTTTTTTAGCTGCCCGATAAGGTGGATGCTTTACGTCGGGTTTTCCTTGCACGACGGAGTTCACGCATCAGATGGCGTGCACGTGCTATTACGTCTCCGTTCACCCCAATGGTGCGAAGACTCCACAAGAAGAAGCCTGACTCACATGTCATTCCTCAAGAGTCCCCTCCAATAGTTCAAGAGGCCCCTATCATCCCTCAAGAGTCCCCCCCACCATTCAAGAGGCTACTGTCATCGTTGAAGAGGTCCCTCCCACCATTCCAGAGCCCGATTCACATGAGGTAATATATCGAATTATTGAGAAACCCCCACCGTTGCCAGACATGATGGATGAGAGTTGGCTCTCGTATGAGTTACCGGCTAGTACCCTTTCGGTATCTGAAGTGGAGAGGAGACAACTACCGGAAACAATTCTAGATAATACCCTTTGGGCTAAGACCGCAGCTGATTTTTATCTACATGAGCGGAGCCAAGGGTGTTACACTGACATAAGCAAACTCAACGATGAGATGTATTTGTTGCTTAATCGGTCTTGGTGGGGTTTGTTATTAGGGGTTGAAGACAGTGGCTATTTCGATGGGGAGGTAAGTCTTATATTTGACTTATATATGATTTTGATTAATTTTTTTAAAAATTAATGTAATTCACTAATATATGTCTTTTTTTGTAAAACAACATATCGATGCGTGGGTGTCACGTCTTCTAATAATAAGGAAGCTTAGGAAAAATAAAAAAAAATCGCGATATACAATAATACCGGCGGCTTTTCACGCAGTTCACTTGAAGAATCAACGAGATGAATCATTTTCGTTGGACAATGGACAAGCTAAACTTTATCCTGCATGGTGGGAGGTCGATAAGGTTAGTGTTTATTTTTTAAATTTTTTAAAGGTGTTTATAAATAAGTGCGCAAATAAATGAATTATTACTTATGATTGCAGGTGTTTATCCCTGTTTTGGAACGTCGTCATTGGCTTCTCGTCCAACTTCAGCTCCCATCCCTAAAGATAATAGTATATGACAGCATGATAAATTACATATCACTATCTGATTTGAGAGATATTATCAAGGGATGGAGCTCTCATTTGGCTAAATTCTTGGATGGGATTAATTATTGGACTCATTCTGGACACAAGAAGCCAAAAAAGTTCAATGTCACAGTTGTCAGAGACGATACCGTGCTACAACAATCGCCGGGAGCCAGAGGGGATTGTGGTCCTCTCGTATGCATGTGCTTGGCGCGTTTGACGACGGGAAGCACAGAGTTTGTACCTCCCACCGATAGAGATAGAGCTGCAGTAGGCTTGTGGTTTCGGCATTATATGGCTAGAGCGATATATTCTAGACGCTGCCTACCTACATCCGCGTTATGAAAGTATCCATTGTTAATTGGTAAGTCAAATGCAAGTTTTGTTAACATATATATACTCCTTTTGGTTTGAAAATGTTTGGTTAAGTACCTATAATTCAATAATTTGCTGTTTGTAGGTTTTAGATGTGTAGGAAGTCTTGTTTGAGCAAATGTTTGGTTTTTGCAGGTTAATCCTTAAGTGAGCTGCGTGAAATGGATGTACGGATGCAAAAGTTGATTCATTGATTCAATAATTGATGAGGAAATAAGAATTATTATTATTTTTTGATTGTTTAATTGATTTGTAAAAAATGATTTGTAAATGTTGATTTGTTTAATTGGTGTGTACATAATTCTTATTTGTGCTTGTTTAATTGATTGAAATGTAATAGTTGATTTGTTGATTTTCAATCTGCATTATGTTGAAGGCAAAACAGACTATCGCAACACGAAACTGACTATCGCAACGAGAAAATCGCAATGCGATAGCCATTTTCGCGTTGCGATTTTTTCATTTCGAATTGCGATAGCCATTTTCGCGTTGCGATTTCCCCGTTGAGATAGTGAAATGAATATCTAATAAGTGATAACAACTGAACAGATCATAGCAATGTTCAAACTCAAGTTACTAATACATGCCTAACTGAAAATGTTAAAAGTGAACACATAAAATACACATAATACAACGTTTGCATTTAAAAATCACCTAAGTTAACAGTCCCAAAAGGTGAAGCCGGTTGTGATTGGGATTTTGAAGATGATTGCGATTTTCAGAATCTCGTTGCGATTTTGTATTATCTCGTTTCGATAGTCAGTATCGCATTGCGATTTTCCAAATTCGTATTGCGAATTAGGAAAATCGCAACGCGATACTTACTTTCGCAACGCGATAATACAGAATCGCAATGCGATTTTCAAAGTTCGCAATAGGTTTTAGTTTCGCAACACAAATTTTTTGTGTATATATCTACGCAGCAACAACAACTCATAACCTAAATCCCTAAATCGCAACTCATTCCATCTCCATCTATCACTCTCTCCGGCGACATCCATTCCTATATCCGTTCCTACATCCTTCCCCATCCGGCAACAGGTCTTAGTTTCGCAGCTCGTTTGTTTAGTAAATTAATTTACAACCATGAAATCATCTAATGTTGACCATGTTTGGATAGATTTGTGTTTTAGAGGGTCATGGGAGAATGTTCATGGTGTTTTACAATATATGCCTTTACCCATGAATCTTCAACTAAAACTGTCATTAAAAAAGTTAACTTATGAAACTCTAATGTTACGTGTTTCAAAGAAATTGAATTTAGAGCCCCTAAGTGGATTTAGGCTATCTTATCAGAGAAATGGTAAAGTTTATTTGTGAACCGACAATGAAGATGTTGAACGGTTCATTGCTTATATTAGTGTTTCAAGTGATGATGTTACGTTGTATGTTGTTGAACCTAGAAGTAGTATTGTTGGGTCAGTAGCGGGTAGTAATCAACTAAGTTTTTCTCAAAACCCACAACCTTTCTCTAAGCCAAATCCCAATCAACTTTCAGCACCAAATTCCGGTTTTCCTATTGACAAATTAGACGATGATGAGCCAACAGAAAAAATTGTGAGTACTAGTCAGTATTCGAAATTTGATCTTGGTCAATACCCGGACTTTGATATTGGTCAATACTCGGATTTTGATGATGTTTCAGAAGAAGAAACAGACCCTGCGTGTAATGATTTTGATATTGGTCAATACCCGAATTTTGATGATGAAACAACCGTTGCCGAGGAAGATGTTATTGATGATAATGAGGAGGAAGTTACGACTGTGAATAAACATGTTGAACATCCATTATGTAATTCATATAATCCTGAAGAAGAAAAAGAAGAAGAAAAAGTCCCCGAAGAAAAGAAAATGCCACAGGAGTATAACTAGAATATGCCAGAATTACTTCAGATACCGGAAGAAGAGTAGGTAAAGAAAGCAGTTGATTGTTGCACAAAAGTTATTCGTATCAAGAAAGATGATTGTTTTGATACAAAGGAAGACTTGAAGATAGCTTTGTATACGAAATGTGTGGAAGATGGCTATCAACTAAAAGTTAACAAATCAAGCAAAGATCGTTTCGAAACAAGGTGTATGATTGACAAAAACTGTACTTGGCGTATGATTGCAAAGAAGATAAAAGATTGTGAAATGTTTCAAGTTAGGACTTTTATTGATAAACGTACATGTTCAAGAACCCAAGTTTTTCCTCACCATAGACAGGCAAACAAAAAGGTGTTGGGTGGTTTTCTGACTGAGTTAATGTTTTTGAATGGCAGGGTATATCGGGGACATGAAATTATGACTGACATGAATGCTCGGTTCAAGATTAGTATATCATATTCTCAAGCTTGGAGAGCCAAATGTTATGCCTTGGAATTGTTGAGGGGGTCGCCAGAAGCATCGTTTGCCCAACTGCCGGCTTATTGTCACAATTTAAAGCTGAAAAATCCTGGGTCGGTAACTCAAATCAAAACAGATAGAGATGGACGCTTTGAGTTGCTGTTTATCGCCATTGGTGCTGCAGTTAGTAAATCAAAATAATTCTGTTGACTCATTTTTGTTAGTTACATGTATTTCACATTTAAATGATTATATTTCTAGTGTATATTATTTTGTAGATTCGTTCGTTTATTACTTGCATGCGCCCAGTTATTATAGTTGACGGAGCACATTTGAAAGGTCGATACCTTGGAGTAAACTTATTAGCAATAGCCATAGATGCTAACAATGGGATATTGCCAATAGCTTACGGGGTTGGCAAATCTGAAACCTCTTATTCATGGACATGGTTTATGGGGAATCTTAGGGATTGCATAGGTCCTATTAGCAATCTGACAATCATATCCGATAGGGCAAACTCAATTGACAACGCTGTTAGAATGTGTTTCTCAGATGCTTTTCATGGACTTTGTGGTGTTCATTTGTATAGAAATCTAAAATCAAGGTCTGCTGGTATAAAAAAGCACAAATGGACATACTGGAAGGTTGTAAAAGCTTATCGGGAAGTGGATTTCAATAAGCATATAAACTGTTTAAGATGTGTTTTGCCTCAGTGTGCTCAAACACTAGAAGATGTCGGGTTTGAAAGATGGTCAAGAGTACATCAACTTGGAGCAAGATATGGTTTCAGGACGTCTAATAGTGCAGAATCAATCAACGCTCTAAGTCGTCATTCCCGGAAATTACCCATTACTATGTTAATGGAGTTTTTCGAGCCTCTATTCAATAGTGGTACTACAAGAAAAGAAACCATGCAGGTATTATTTCTTTGAATTCGTAACTTATCATATATTTTACTAAGTATTTATTTATTTAAATTTACAGGAACATTGGAACATCGTGTTACACCATAGACTGAAAAAAAGATAACGAAACGTGTTGTGAAGTCAACGTCATGGAGAGTTGAACCATGTTCAAACATTTTGTTTGAAGTACTGGATAATAACTTAAATGGGCTTGTCGATCTAAATGCAAGGACGTGTAGTTGTATGAAATGGCAAACATCTGGTTATCCGTGTGACCATGTTATAAAAGTCACGATCAAAAAGTCATGGACAGAAGGCTACCTGGCCGACCAAAAAGTCACAATCGTATACCGTCTAAGGGTGAAGAGAAGAAGAGATCGACATGTAGTCGGTGCAAGGAAAGTGGTCATGTAAGGTTGACATGTGGATCACCAGTGCCATCACAATCATCTTTTCCTCTACCAAAATATTGGATCATCATCAAAATCCAAAGCTCATATGGTGTCAAGAAAAAGGAAATCAAAATCGCAATCATCTTTAAAATCTCAATCACAACTGGCTTTACCTTTTGGAACTGTTAACTTAGGTGATTTTTAAATGCAAACGTTGTATTATGTAGATTTTATGTGTGGACTTTTAACATTTTCAGTTAGGCATGTATTAGTAACTTGAGTTTAAAAATTGCTATGATATGTTCAGTTGTTATCACTTAATAGGCAATCATCTTAATGTCTATCGCAACGCGGAAATTCCTATCACAATGCGAAATGAAAATCGCAACGAGTGAATCACAATGCGAAATGAAAATTGCAATGCGAATTTCGCAATGCGAAATTCGCGTTGCGATTTTCATTTCGCAGTGCGATTCTCTCGTTGCGATTTTCATTTCGCATTCCGATAGTACTTTTTGCCTTCAACATAATGCAGATTGAAATCAACAAAATCAACCATTACATTTCAATTAATTAAACAAGCACAAATAAAAATTATGTTAACATCAATTAAACAAATCAACTTTTACAAATCACATTTTACAAATCAATTAAACAATCAAAAAATAAGCAATAATTCTTATTTCCTCATCTACTATTGAATCAACTTTTGCAGCCATACATCATTTTCACGCAGCTCACTTCTGTGATTAACCTGCATAAACCAAACATTTGCTCAAACAACACTTTCTACACATCTAAAACCTACAAACAGCAAATTATTGAATTCTAGGTACTTAACCAAACATTTTCAAACCACAAGCCTATAAACATACCAATTGTTTATGGACATTTTTATAACGCGGATGCATGTAGGCAGCGTCTCATATATATCGATCTAGCCATATAATGCCGAAACTACAAGCCTACTGCAGCTCTATCTCTATCGGTGGGAGGTAGATACTTTATGCTTCCTGTGATCAAACGGTCCAACGCCAAGCATACGAGACGACCACAATCCCCTCTGGGTCATTTCGTTTGTTGTGGTGCGGTCTCGTCTCTGCTAACTGTAATATTGAGCTTCTTTGGCTTCTTGTTTCCAGAACGAGTCCAATAATTTATTGCATCCAAGAATTTAGCCAAATGAGAGCTCCATCCCTTAATAATATCTCTTAAATCAGCCAATGATATGTAATTTATCATGCTGTCATATACTATTGCCTTAAGGGATGGGATCTGAAGCTCGACGAGAAGCCAATGTTTACGTTCCAAAACAGGGATAAACACCTGCAATCATAAGTAATGATTCATTCATTTGCGCACTTATTTATGAATACCTTTAAACTCAATCTAAAATAAACACTAACCTTATCGACCTCCCACCATGCAGGATAAAGTTTAGCTTGTCCATTGCCCAACGCAAATGATTCATCTCGTTTGATTCTTCAAGTGAACGGCGTTAAAAGACGTCGGCATAATTGTATATCGTGTATTTCTTTTATTTTCCTTAAGTTTCCTAATTATTAGAAGACGTGACACCCACGCATCGATATGCTGTTTTACAAAAAAAGACATATATTAGTAACTTACATAAATTTAAAAAAATAATCAAATTAAATTATAAGAAAAATATAAGACTTACCCCTCCATCGAAATAGCCATTGTCTTCGACCCCTAATAATACGCCCCACCAAGACCGATCAAGCAACAAATAGATATCATCGTTGAGCTTGCATATGTCAGTGAAACACCCCTGGTTCCGCTCATGTAGATAAAAATCAACTGCAGTCTTAGCCCAAAGGGTGTTATATCCAGAATTGTGTCCGGTAGTTGTTTCCTCTCCACTTCAGATACCGGTATGGTACTGGCCGGTAACTCATACGAGAGCCAACTTGAATACATCATGTCCGGCACGTCAGAGGGTTTCTCAAGAATCCTACATATGACGCCATGTGAATCGGGCTCTTGAATGGTGGGAGGGACCTCTTCAACGATGACAGTGGCCTCTTGAACGGTGGGAGGGGACTCTCGAGGAATGATAGGGGCCTCTTCAACGATAGGAGTGGAATCTTGAGGGATGACAGGCGAGTCGGGCTTCTTCTTGCGGTGTCTTCGCACTATTGGGGTATACGGAGACTTAATAGCACGTGCACGCCGTCTGATGCGTGAACTCTGTCGTGCAAGAAAAACCCGACGTAAAGCATCCACCTTATCGCTCCGCTAAATAATTAAATACAAATATCAGTAAATAAACAGACATGATATTTAAACAGTGAAAACAAAGACAAATATATTTCAAACTTTCAACCAAAAGACAAAAAAAAAGACAAATACTAACTTCACAGTGTTAAAGAATACACAGTTTAGCAGAATTGGCAGCAACCGAATAAATTTACTTCAACCAAAAGACAAAACAAAAAGACAAATACTAACTTCACAGTGTTAATAAACAATTTAGTAGTATTGGCAGCAACCGAATAAATTTACTAAGCAATCTAAGTGAAATGGTTAATTTAAGTGAAATTACGAGTAAATTTATCATCAAGTTAAATATGGAAAATCTTAAACTTACCTCGTTGCGTAGAGTATGAACCTCATTCTGCAACGATACTACAATCTCACGTAGAGCGGCAACCTCACCACGTAAAGTAGACACCTCCACACGCCATGCACCATCGTTATCGCGTAGAGTACCGATCTCCTCACGCATGGCATTGACCTCATCATGTAACTCCCTTGACTCATCCCGTGGAGGTGGAGAACAGGTGATGGTGGAGAAGAGGCTCGATGATGTGATGGGATAGGTGATGGCTCTCGTTGTAGAGGTGTATAGTCGGGTCGATCAGGTGATGGCTCTGGGTGAGGTGATGGCTCTCGAAGTGGAGGAAGTGGAGGCTGCTCATCATTCGTGCCATTAAGAAAACGCTGACTAGCTTGCCATCAATCAGTGGCAAGCTCAGCCTCCGTGGGTGTCAGTCTCATTAATGGAATGTTGGCCTCCTAAAAATATAAAAACTCAAACAAAGTTAAACGTCTACTATTAATAACTTGTTTATATATGATAATATTTGTGTTAACTTACATTATTTATTGTCGCATATGGTATTAAGTCTTCCCAATCCAACAGACGTTTCCTCTTCCAGGAAATAGCCCTGGGAATATAATTTGAAGTT